TGATGGAACAAAAAATTAATTCAATAGTTTAAGATTATACAATTTTATTCAGTAATTAGCATAATTTTGTTTGATCTTGCAGGTGCTAGCCATATTCAAAATAGAAAAAAAAATATGTGACAATAAAATTAACATAAAACATTTAATATTTTTAATCATTTTTATAACTTAAATGTTTTAATTCTTTCTCATGTTTTTAATATACCATATATATATCTATGTAAAATTAAATTAATGTTTGTTGCTTATATAATTTTACTAAAATAATATAAAAATCTCATTACTTGTTCCGATTGTTACCAAATGTCTCTCTTATTCTCCGATTTCCACTCTTTCTGTGCCTATCTGTCTCACTCTCTTTCGTCTTTCTTACTCTCGCTGTCTCTATCTCACTCTCTGTCTCTTTTTCACACACAGTCTTTCAATTACAGCGTCTCATTCAAGGTACAGGACGTTGTAACCTATTATAAAACAACGTTCTATGAATTAGCACTACATAGTATGAGCACAATGGTTGGTTGGTTGATTGCAGTGCACTCCATCACGCCGAATTTAGATAATTTAATAGGTCTTCACCGATGAACAGTCTGTTGAACTATCAAAGAAGTATGTTCCTAAGAACCTATATCTTCTGGATGCCAGAGCCGGACATTCACATAGAAAATGTATTATGGTTTCTTTTTCCTGCGAGTTTCCACAACCTCTGCAATGAAGATTATGGGGAATGCACAGTTTCTCTGCGTGGGTTCCTACACACCAATGACCAGAAAGAACTGCAATAAGCCTGACAGTATTCACGCGGTCTTATTTGATGAGTTCCGAGGATCTCATTAGGACTTTTATAGGTGGGTCATGTTAACCTGGAAGTTGTACATGGTGTAAGTGCTTTTCATCTGTTATTGGCAAATTGCAGAAAGTAGAGGAATTGAGTATAATAATAACTAAAATAAGTAAATAATATTATTAATATTATATAATAATATAGTAATAACTAATAATAATATTATTAATATTATAACAGAACGAAAAGATATTGATTTTTGATATAGTCTTATCAACTCGAAGAAGGTGTCTACTATGAACAACAGTCTTTCTTTCCAATTTATAGAAAGAATATCTGTCACCATTAAGATTATGGCTCTCGTAGATAGTACTACCTTGCATTATAGTAGTTCAGCAATTAATCGCTCTATATCCTTGAAAATAAATAAATAATAAAAAATCTCTGACCATATTTTTAGGCATTTTTATGCTCCAGCTCTAGTTTTCGAAATGTCTCCTTTAGGTTTGTAGTTACTAACGTATAGCTAATCACAGTTCTAAAACTTTAACCACCAAATTTATAACTATTAAGATGATATATGCCAAAATAATTATAATGAAATTCATAAATATTTCAGGGACTTCAAAACTGATCTCTGAATGTGCTCTCTCAGAATAATTTATTTGGGATTTTCTTTCATCATTAGTCTTAGTCTTAAATAAACCACAGTTGAACACTTTATTAAACTTCTTAAAGAATTTAAAAAGTCTAACTAACCTAGGCTGTTGTGATAAGAATTTTATAACGATGTTGTAGTCCGATGTTAATGGAATGGACTGGCTGAATTTATACGTGTATCTTAACTAAGCCATAAAATATAGGCAATAAACTTAAAATATAGTAAAATTATATTATCAAACTCACTACAAGATTAAAGAGATAAAAAGAGTAGGGAATCGCTAGGTTAAGCTGACGACATCAGGTCATAGCTTTAAGTAAATGTATAAAGTATGGATAATTATTGTATGTTTTCAAATTATTATTAAAGAATACTACTTCTAGTCACTAAGTCAGCCTCAATTGAGGTTGCATTCATAACTTACCCTATTAGTCCATATATACACACAAATATTTAAAATGTAATTAAATTTTTATTTGGAAATTCTACGAGTAAACTTGATAGGGAAACTACTTTCTAATTATGAAATCCTTATCTAACAAATAAGTATCTTAGCAACAAAATCTTTTAGCACTCAATATAAATATATATTGTACTTAATTATATTATTAAAAATTGTCAACACATTAATAAATTCAGTATACATAAGTATTGTAAGGCAAATATTAAAAGCTTATCAAAATAAGCTTATTTAAATATTTCAGATTTTTATTACTAATGATTATTATTATGCTTACTCGACTAAATTTCGGTATTGAATCCAGATAACCTTTCCTTTTCAACTAAGTTTTCTACTTATTTATGTTGAAATATTATTTATTTTACTTTCAAATTAAAATTATACATTTTTCAAATAATTGTTTTATATATTTTTACAGGGTGATACTAACGAAAAGATCCTAAATAGCCATCATGAAAATATGGTTACCTATGAACTATAAGCTAGCAGGTAACTTCAACCTTCAATACAATACGTGTTAGAAGATGGTGTATATGTGACGGATACCAGACTAATGTACTACTTACGCCAATAATCGCGTTTCTTTAAAGCAGATCAAACTACTTTATTCTTTCGTCTAATTCTGTTATGCAAATAAACTGAAGTATATTAACTAGCACTAGATCATTGCAAATTATAAATAGTTTCACTGGCGTCTAGATAATGGAAGTCCAACATAATCTCAATTAAAAACTTAAAATATCGCTGCATTTACATAGCATTTCTTACACCATTCATATCAATCTCTTCCTAATAATAATAATACAAAAATATATTATATTACATCCAATCCTTTGCGATCAATATAAGCAATATATATAATTTTTATTATCAGACTCGAGTGCATATTGATAAGTACGTCAACAGTTTTTAATAAGGTTGTGATCTTTGTACCACATTCTTATAAATAGCTTTAGTAATAATCATTTATAAATGCTGATTAAAACTTACGCTGCATCAATTAAAATAATTAAATAAACTTCTTCATTATGTAATATAAATAACACAAGTTTTTTTTTATTTTGTAGAATATTGTAATACATAAATCGCTCTATTTATTATTATTTAGAGTATATCTATTTTGAATCACTTTCACACTTGTGACTTCAAATAAAACTATTTGTAGTGATTCTTAATCTGAATGTAGTATTATAGTATATTTACACTATCACAATTATCTCGCAAATGAACAGTCACACAAGAACTATTTTGTGTACAAGATCTATTCAAAGTCTATCAATAATCAGCTAACGAGGTTCGATAACTGTAAGTGTGAACTATTTGTCCAACATAGTTATTAAGTTTATACTTTGTTCAAACAACATAATTAGCTATCGAAGATAGTCAAAATATTGGAAAACCACTTTAATAAAATATAATTATTTTAATTATTCAATAATTAATATAGATTTTATAGTACATTATATATTCTTTTCCATATCGATATAATAGATTCATTAAGAAATTGAAACCAAATATGAACGATGAATTTCATATTTGAATTTAATTATGAATTCTTATTTTAAACTATTTGATCAAAAATATTTAGGTTCCAAAAAATTAAACTAGAACAAAATTTTTTTAATTTTTTGGCAATGATATGATATGATTTTCATAATTTGTAGGTTTCGTTTCCTTAATATTATTTACTGTTACAAAAATATGGCTAAGAGGAGATTTACACTGTCTCATTTAGGTGGATTTGCTCAAAGTGCTTTCATATAAATAAACTCATTATCAATAAATCAGTTTATTTAAGACGAGAAATGTCGAATGCAACCCTTAAAAATAAATTTCCCACAAGGGAAATTAAAAAAATTTAAAATGTGTGTCATATGTTTTATATATAAAACAAACAACAACTGAGCTGTGAACAAAGGTACTGAGAAAGTAAGTATTCAATAAAGTCTTTGTTTTTATTAATTGAATATGTAATTGATATATAAAATGTATAGAGGAATTCAGGATGTCTGTGTATTGTTGCATGTGCAAATTTTTTGATTTTACAAAAACAGTTCTCTATTCAAGACCATATTTTCAATACCAATTATCTCTTGCATATTTGATTTTCAAGACTCTATTGTGAATGATACTACTTTTTTTACTGTTCGCTGGGCAATACTTTAGCGAAACTGTAAAGTTTTGTTTGATTTTGCAATTTTGTAATTTTGTGAAATTGTTTTTTTTTTTTTATTTATTATTAACGATTCTTCAAATAAAGACAAGAATCGTTTTAATATTGCACCTAGTACAAATAACAAAAAAAAAGGTACTAATAAGCAATTTTATTTGAATATTTAATGTAAAAAAAAAAATGAAGCTATTTTGCTACTCGCTGTCCATTAAGTCTGCCACTGTTTTCCTTTTTAGCCGTCTAGATATTGCAACCACCTGGAGAAGACTGGATGCTGTAACGTTGACATGTGTTTTCAATCGCTGTTTGTGAGCAATGGCACACCTTTTTGCCACGACGTCGACTGTTGGTATGTCAAGGTCACGGTACTTGTGAAATTGTTTGATATTGTATTTATTTTACATCTAACAATGTCGGACAATGTGAATATATTCTGCTTTTCATTTTTTTTTTGGCATTGTTAAAATTATGCCTATCGCATCTGAGTTATGTTTTTAAGGAAATAAATACGAGCTGTTTTGAATATGTATTCACGATTATTTGAATTTGCAATTATACACATTAAACAATCAGACATCCTGAATATCCCTTATATAAATAATTTAAAATATCAATTATATATTTAATTTTTTGTGTGATGAATTATTAAGTGGAATTTATAAAAGTTCTAGCAGGTGCATAAATGAGTTTATTATAATGTGCACGTTCACTCATTGTTATAAATGAGCAAGTGCCTAAAGGAGACAATATGAATGTACTATAACCTAAATGTGCGTTTTATTTATTTTGTCCAAGTCATTATATATAGAAAAAAAATTTAAATCATAATTTTATTTCACTGAATAAATAAAAAATAAAAAGGTTTTTTTATGTTAAAATATTTTTTAATCAGTTATACATAAAACGTTTTTAAATATTTCTTTTAAATTACAAATAAGCAGTTGGCAACGCGATACTGCCGGTTAAACACGCTAACAGCTGATTGGATTATTTATTTAACACGCAACATTTATAGATGAAATACAAATACAAAACATATTATTACCCGTTCAAATAAGATTATTATTAATATAATGGATGATCCATTAAAACCGAAATCTGTGCCTTTGGCTGCAGAAACCGTACTATGTTTTGAGTTTTTACTAGATCCGCACAAAATAACAAAACACTTGAGCAAAAATTCACCTGGTAAAAATATTAATTAAAATTAAAACTGAACTTATTTAATAATTCGTTTTGCGTACAACAGAACCAAGTGCCGTTGCGCTACTAACAGAATTTATTTCAATGACTCCGGATACCTTAATGCCAAATTATGAATTCAATATGCCTGCGTCAGATTCTGAAAACATATCAGGTGTAGGGCCCATGAATATTGATTCCGAAGAAAAAAAACCAGCAGCTATCGAAGGACTCCGAATTCAACGCAAACAATTGGCATTAAAAATCTTAGCTCTGAAGGTTGCAACATGGCTAAAATGGGATTTAGGTAACGAACATACACGTTTGTCAATATCCATTTTATAACAAAACTTTTTAACAGATTTTCTGGAGAAGAACTTACCAACATCAAAACAACTATATTTATTACGGGATTTATTAACATTAGCTTGTGGCAAACTAATATCCATACCGCTACCAGCTGATTTCCAGCCTGTAATAGGTAAGCTACAATCACTATCACTATAATTTGCGTTAAGAAAAATTTGAAAATATAAGCCATTACTAAAAATATTAGTATGTATTATAATAGTAATTAGAATAATTATTACTAATACATTACTATTATTGTAAATAATTAAAACGAAAGACTGTTTTTTCATCAGCATTTTCAATTATTTACTTGTAGCCGCTGATGGTAACGAAAGAGCTGCACGTTTTGCATTCACATTCTATCATCGTTGGGTGTTAAGATTGCAGATATTAAAGGACATTGCTATGAAATCTGCGCGACCCACTATAGGCAATATGTAACTAAATTAAAAATCACTAATTCACTGGAACAATTAAATTACTTATTAATAATTGATTTATAGGTTTGTACCTGTCGAGCCATTGCATACACATTTTGCGCCAGACATTGCTCCAAAAGACAGCATAGATTATTTAACGGAACTTTGTAAATCAACAGAACCATTCTATGTATTTACAAACGAAACGTTTCAACCGCTTCATTCTAATAGTGATAACATAAAACAAAATTTCGACTTCATGCAACAAATTTCCAAATTTGAACTCCGTGCCCAAATACAATTCGATATGGTTAACTTTTATTTATACACTAAGCAATACAGGTTAGCACGTGAAGTGGTTCAACAGTGTTACACAAATTTTCTCGAGATGAGGAGAGAATATCAGCTAAAATCCAAGCAACCTGAAGATTATATATTTTGCCTGCTCAACGAAAATGAGCTTGAGAGTTATCTTATGGCTTGTGGTGTCAGTATGAAAGGCCAAACCTTAATGGAACGATTTAGTTTATCTCAAATAAATGACTTTAATAATATAATTGAAATTTTAAGTGAGGATAATTTAGCACGGGAAATACCCTTCTTTGCACGTCGTAATGTAGAACTAGATATTGAATGTAATAATTTACGCAACTCGTCGGAATATAATCTGCTAAAGCTACAAGTGGCGGCACTAAACGTCGTACGTTCAATATTTGAAAAGGGCAAAATGTTTGCATGTGTAGAATATTTCGAAAAGTACAAACAAATCGAGTCTTGGACAACAATTCTAGATGTAAATATCATTTTAAAATGCTTTCTAATTTCTGGTACAATTTTTTTAATAAGTTTTCTCATTTTAAAGGCTATCACTGTATTGTATCCACATTGTACACCGACTGACCAAAATAAGTTGAAACATTTTGTAATCAATACAATGTATGAGCAGAACTCGAATCCTGAATACCTTAATGAGCTTAAGAAACATACATTATTTACGAATGTCGAATTGGAAGAAATCGCCCGTCATATAGTGAAAGAGACAATAGTTGTGGACGAATCTGCTAAGAGCAACGATTGGACAATTTTGACTGAAGGTATAGTATTTATTCAATAACAATAAAAATATAGTGATGCAAATAGTGTCATTTTGTGTTACAAGTACAATTGTTGTTTTCCACAATTTGGAACATTTCAGCTAATTTCTAATACATTGTTTATTTATCGCACTCTCTCAAATACACAACTGTCGCAGATTTACTAAAAGTGACGAATGCAAGTAATTATGCCCTAATGTACATACTAATTTAAGCCTTATTGATCTTTGGCTACGACCCATTGAAATGTTCAGTTTCTTTACCTCGAGCCATTCTAGATTCGATTGCGACTAACCCACGCAGTTAACCCTACCATATCCGAAACAATGTCCTTTCCAACTTCCTCTTTCGGCTCCATCTCAACTAATCACATCCTAACTCATGTAGTCGTTTTGTAATTCCTTTTACAATAACAACAACAATGCATAAAATGCAGACAACTAGGATATATCTCTACGATATATCTCTTAAGTTTATAACCTGCGTTATCACAAATTGCTTAATATGTTTAACAACTTTCAATTTGTAAAGTTTTAGAACATCCCAATGGTGGATCGTTAAGCACTCCTAAGATTCACAAAAGATATCAAAATACTACTATAAAATTTTACAGAGATACTAATAGACAATATATAGAAACCAATATAGGAACCTATGTAAAGCTTACAGCAAATCAGTTTTACTTAACCTATACATCCTTTTATGTTCATGTTCATGTTCATGTTGAGTCTTTTTCGAGTCAGTGTATCTTGGCAGTTTTACTCTTTGATAGCTGGGGGGTTTCTACAGAGTCCCAATACTCCTTTATTGTATTTAAAATACGTAAACAAGCTGCTTTTATTTGCTTTGCTCATCAAACTAGTGATTATACTATTTAATTTGTAGCTTTATTTCATTGAGGTGCCAATATTTTTAATCATGAATCCAAAATAAATTCAAAAATTTCAGACTATTTCAATTCACATCATTCAATTCTTACATTCTTCTTTCCCAGCCTAAAGTCTAGTAGAGGCATAAGCAAGGTTCAACTCTGGCAACAATAAGCATAACTGAAATAATAATTAGCGGAGTAGGAGGAAAATAATTTTTTATAACAATATTACTGAAAGTCACCAATTATATATAAATTTATATAAAATTAAAATTTTGAAAATTAATGAAGTTAAATTAATCTATTAGGTTTGCCACACGAAGTATCACGGCATTTTGACGTTCATTCCAAAATCCGCCAATTAATAAATTGTACAGATTCTAAGTCTGTACGTACATTATTGGTTCAATTAGCATCTACAAATCCGCTGCAACCTTTATGGACTGTAAATCCAAGTTGGGAAATACATATCTCCGTTAAATCGATTCTATTATCAACACCTCCAAGCTTTCATCAGGACTTCGCATATGTTTTACTGGGAAAATCTCGAACGCAGGCACTTAAAAATGCAAGTTATATTAACTTTTAGAGAAAAATAAGTTTTTGAGAGTATTAGCTATATTTTTAGGAATATAATGTGGCGCTTCACTTGTTAGGTGCCTTAAAAAATGAAACGCAGCGTACAGAATATACGAATTTGTCAATTGGGCCAAAAATTGGGAAGTTAGTGACATGGGAAATACTTTTATTGCAAATAACAAAATGCTTCGATGATTGGGAACTCAAACCCGTGGAATTGCAAACCATAGGCAATCGTTGCAAAAATTGTTTAAATGCACTTGCAGCCAATGAGACGATAATACCGCGAATGGAGGTAATAAGAATAATTAAGAAGCTTGATTGAAATGCAGGAATTTTTGTAACGTTTAACCAAAAATTACAGATCGTTGAGAGCTGTGTAGTAATGCTGCTTAATTTAAGCGAGCATAATACGGTTATGGCTATGGACAAATGCTTACCACAATTGGAGTTGCCAATTGCGTTTGCTAAAACTATGTCTGATATGGAAAAAATGAAGGGTCCCAAAAAAGTAAGTCGAGAAGCATGGGATATATTGCTGTCGATGTTTGTAAGTATTCCCAAACGTACCAATGGTTCTGGCAGTGCGCGCAATTCACCAAGTTTACCTGCTTCCGTGGGATTGCGTCCGTTTTTAAAACGGATACGTAGTCAAACGTTATTCTCTGTATGCATATCATTAATGGGTAAGATTTTGAATCTCTTAAAGGAAGATCCTAATAATGACTTAAGTGGGGAGTTCATGCAGCTGTGGCCAACAAATATAAATAAGTAAGTACAATAAGCGTTATAGCAGATTTAAAAGAAACTCTAAACATATTTCTTACGTAGTCATACCGGATACAATGGTCGCGCTGTAAGTGAGACATTGCATTGGTTGCTAACAGAAGCACTTAAATATTATCCTCAAACATTGGCTTGGCTGAAAATGAAAGGAGATTTAGAACTTGGTATGTTGTTGTTGTTGTTACCCGAAGATATATGTAAGGAATTGCAAAATACGAATACATGGGTTGGGATATGAATTAGGTTGGGGGTAAATAAGAAGAATAGAGGTTTTTCGAAATAAGTCATGGTAGAAAAGTCTGTGGGTTGTGTTTGAAACCAGGGTGTGTCGAGGTGAACAAACCTTTTCACTTTAATGGATCGAAACCAACGATCAATACAGCGCAAATTATTGTATGCATTGAGACATGGAAACAGATTGACATATTTATAAGTGCCAAGAAACTGTTTTAGCACATGACTATACCCTGAACTCAATTGGGCTAGAGCAGTTTCTGGTGCATGTCCTTCTTTCCTAGAGATAGCAACCGAAGACCTGTGGAAAATTTTATTGCTGTCTCAACGAGGATGCTGTATTTGTCTAGAGGACTATTAATCTTAAAGCAATATTATATATATGATAATATATATATGATATGAGTTTCAGAGTTTTACGTACATTTTAATACATATAATATGATATATATATTTTCTTTTATTTCACAGCAAATAATAATAATGAAGCTGCAATGCGTTGCTATGTTAATGCGTTGATATCCGGTACTGAATACTGCCATAGCCCGTTGCAACGAAATGTTGCGGACGATTTTCTGATACGCAGAATGATGCGTTGTGCGGTCAATTTAGGTTGTTTCACACAAGCAACCATTTTGTGTCAGGTAAATACCATTTTCTTATCTTGTTGAGGTTGTAGACTAACTGCACTATTATTATTATTATCTATTATAGTTCATGGACGATATTGACTACAGTTTAGTGAATAAGAATCTTTCAGAGAAATCTTGCAATTTTACGGATGCGATGGACGCCTATTACAATTGTATTTGGGATGCAACCTTATTGGAATTTGTTATTAATTTACATGCCAAAAGGGGAGAACACAGTCGAAAATTAGAAGCCGTAAGATGATTAATGATTTATTTTAATTTTTCTGTATGTTTCCACATATTCAATTTTTATTTTGTGGCAATAAGTAGGATGTCCTTGTAGTACAGAATTCCTTAGAAACTGGTGTCCTTTTGCTCGACATAAGGTTTTGACAAAAACTTAGAATATGCCCGGCTAGCTCAGTCGGTAGAGCATGAGACTCTTAATCTCAGGGTCGTGGGTTCGAGCCCCACGTTGGGCGAATAAGTTTTTTTTTGTTGCAAAAGAATATGATAAAACAATTTATTAGCAAAAAGAAAACAAATCTTAAAAAATAATATAATTTAAAAATGTATATAATACAATATCTCTGCTAACAATTTAGCAGTCCCTAAGAGTTTTTTGTAACATTATGCAATTGCCTTAATAATACAGCTACATAAGTGGTATTAACTTTAGGGTCTTAAAATAATGATAAAAAGATCTCTGATAAATAAATTATTCACTTGAAACTTGGATACAAAAATCTATCAGATTTTTATAGCTTTGGAATCTCAAAACATATGTAGTGAAAACTCTGATCACTGTAAACGGACACTCTCATAATCAAACATCTCTTCTAGCTATTTAATGATACAAGTCCCAACCCAGTTATATTTTTATTATAAAGTACATATTTTCTTAAAGACAATTTTTTTAACCGAACAGAGCTGCTCTCCCCTCGGTAACCGCCTTTTCAGTAATTCGTTTTCAAAGCATGATAGCTCCTCTTTTTATATATCCGGCATAGTTTTATATACTGATTAAAGCAAATCTTTTTAATCAACTTTAAGCTCTTAACATATTTTAGAATGTTAGCGTTTATAGATAAGCTATAACCATGATCATAGTAACGCATAAATGGTTATCCTATAATCATTTGATAGTATTAGACCAGATATTAAACCAGACGATTGTATTTGTGATAATAATTTTATAGACAAATTGTTTTGATGACTTGAGTACATCTTTTGTACATAAATATATACATAAAGGGATATGGTTGTTGCTTAGCACAGAAAGTAGTTAACGAAGATTATAGTAAATTTGCTTTTAAACTTTAAAGATAGACGCGAAACCTTTGTAATTTACAATCAAGGTTGCTCCAGAAGATTTCATATGAAGCTATAATTTCGAATGTTAAAATAAAAGTATTTAAATAATGCAACTCAACCAAGTGAACCTGTTGATTCATCCAGAAAAAGTAAACAACACATCCTTAAGAGCACATTAAAGTGGATACTATAATCATTGCGTTTATTATAGATGTTTTCTGACAACTTTAAATGTAGCCTAAATTTTTCAGGGGTTTAATTTCGCTTTTAAGTGGTTTCACGACTCTCAATTTAAAACTTTTCCATCGGTTGACATTAAGATTAATTTAATTTAATGTTGATTAAATGATTTAACTGCTTTTGATTTATAACTTATCAAACGTTAGAATTCCAGACAAATTTCTTGTTGGCTAAAAAAACAATAATTTGATTCAACTTCGTGTTAATTTTTTTATGAAGTTACGTATTGACGGTTTTCTATATCAAACCCTATCTACGATTTGAAATCACGCTTATATTGTGAGCAGAGTTACGACAAACATAAAGTATACATCAAGTTTAGTCCATATCTTACAAATAGAATATTGAGATACATAAATTTTTAATGTGTATTTCTCTTGGAGAAATCAAGATGATCCCATCAAAAAATACATAAAGGATAAGCCCTAAAATTATTTACGAAATCTGACAGACTAACCAACACCGCGTTATCAAATCTCAGAATGGTTACAGGCTCCTCGGGGAGGTATGCAGATCTAAGGTCAATTATTGCTTAGTCTGATGAAGTGATAAACAATAATCTAGTCAAGGTGTAGATAGGGGTTTTAAAGAAACCTTGATTTAAAAAAGAGTATAAGTGCTTAAGTGCACTAGCTCAAAACAGCTTCAACATAATAGCAATAATAATATATTTATATTTTCTACCAGATATAGTATATCTGGGGCTATCTATTAAATTCATTTGTACAATCCTCATTCTATAACAAAACTCAATATTTGACATCGACAGTTTAATGCCCGGCTAGCTCAGTCGGTAGAGCATGAGACTCTTAATCTCAGGGTCGTGGGTTCGAGCCCCACGTTGGGCGAGACTTTCTTTTCCTTTTTATTTAAAAATAATTTTTTTTAATTCACTTTTTTTTATCCTTTTTGCAGATGTCCATCATGAGCTCCTTGGAGTTGAATGCTAACAATAATGAAGAAATAAAAAATCAAGCGGCCGCAGTAAGAAAAACACGATTTTTGCGTGCCTTAGCTAAACAGTATTTATTATAAAATTGCATTTTAGAAATGTAAATATATGAGTAAGAATCCGTATATCCGTATTAAAATCTGTATAACGTTTAAGTTATGTATAAATTATTGTATAAAATAAGTTTAAAAATTTTGTTACAAAATTAAAATTTTATAAATATATTGGTATTTTATAAATTTTAGAATGGTTCACAAAAATATGTTCTTTTTTTACAATATAGGAACTGAATGCTCCTGTAATTCTTATATCTCTATGTATTATATATTAAATTCGAATCCATTATATCTCTAAGCATCAATTTCGACAAGTAATAAACCAATGCCGAAAACTGAAGACACATTCCAATCAACAATAAACATGCTGCTAGTCGTAAAAATATAGATCTAAAAACTGATTAACCACTGCATTCTTAACTAAACACGTTCCCATTAACTGTCATCTTTTAAAAATTGAATTAAATAGTACTAACACCTGAAGATTCTGGGAACTCTGAATTGAAATTGAAGCTGATTGTCAGTAGGATAGGTTAAGCACCTCCGACTGGTTTTCATTGAAACGCATACAGCCTAGAGTCTTGAAGAATATCTCTCTAACTGGATGGAGAAGAGTACATCATATTATTAGTTTGAAACTATATACTGTAATTTGTCGTTCAGTTTCACACAAGATATTTGATTTTGATATTTGATTAGAAGATATAAGGGCTTACGCTGTAAGTGAGATTATGGAATTTGCTTTCAAAATAAATAATTTAATTTCTACTCATATAGAATATTTGACATCAAATGTCAACAAGCCCGGCTAGCTCAGTCGGTAGAGCATGAGACTCTTAATCTCAGGGTCGTGGGTTCGAGCCCCACGTTGGGCGAAGATGTTTTTTGTTTTTTTTTTTATTAAAATAGTATTTTTTAACTCACTACGAAACCTTTCTACATATTATAACACAAAATTTGAGAACAAAATTGAATATATTTCACAAGAAAATTAATGTAAAAACACAATATAACAATATCAATAATAAACAGTTGCTTATTCCGTTTTCTGAATAAAAGTATACGTGTATTAAGGAGTAAAAAGTAAGAAGTACACTAAATTTGTTAGTTCAAAAATATAAAATTCAACAATATTATTTTGGACGTCTCCCACGACCAGAGCCACCTGCTATTTTAGGTTTCTTTGCGCTTGCACTTTTTTTATCCTCGTCAGGTTTACGTTTTGCTGTTGTAGTCGATAGTACCTTAAATATATACACGGTTATTATAATTAATTAAATCACATTTTCTTCATACTATTTAAATACCATAACTATAGATATTCTTATTGTTTTACCTTGAAGAAACCATCCAAACGCCCCTGAGTTTGTGTATTCCTGGATTTTAAAATTTTTTTCACACCACCACGCACGCGTTCTTCGCTGAATTGACGATCGCCACATAAAAATTTAACTAAAGCGTCCTCATCTGGATCTGTCCATTTAAGCTGTAATAAAAATAAAATATATCAAATACGGAAATATATTACTGACAAAAGGAAACCAACGTCGATATTATCTGGATCAGCTACTTCTGGTGTTATAAATAATTGTCGTGCCAATTCAAAATTCCAATTTTCGGGAACAATATATTTTTTACGATCAATATTTTCTAAAATTGTCTCCAGATTTCGGTAGGTATTTATTAATTCAACTGCACGTTTTGGTCCTATGCCCTTAATACCCTCACAATAATCGCAACCCAAGAGTATACACAAATCAATAAACTGTGAAATGTTAAAAGCTTTAAATTCACATTAAAAATAAGTTATTTCAATGCCAACCTCATTTTGTGTTAACTCAAAACCTTTCAAGACTTTTTCATGATGTATTTCTTTAACCGGCATTTTCCGCGCTTCACTAAAAGTTAAATAACGCAACAATACATTTGAACCAAAGGTTAACGCATCCATATCCTCAGTAGCAGTGGCAAATACTTTGCCTGATTTAACTAAAGCAGCGCACTGCGCTTCAGCTTCACAAGGTGCTTCTACAAACGGTACACCCATTAATTTCAATAATTCTTTTGCCTCATTTGCATGATCTTTAGTAACGCGCACAAGCCTCCTATTGAACTTATCAACATCAGCCTCATTGCCTGCTTCTTTAGCGGCTTGTAACGCCTTTTCTGCTTCCTCTCGACGTCCGGCACGTTTGGCTAACTCACCGGATTTTAAATCTGGTGGTTTACCATCAAAAACGTAAACAGGCTTAATGCCATTATCCAGCATGCGTATTGTACGATAGAACATGCCCATCAGATGCGACGTAGTTTCACCATCTACGGTTGTTAATTGTGCACCTTCTGCACGTACTGCTATTAAGAACTGATATAAACACATAGAAGCATCAATTGCTACCTTACGTCCTAAAATAAATTAAAAGCTGTCTTTATGATTCTTCACTTAGTTATGAGAAATTAAGGCTTTACCAAAATAATTTTTTATTTCATTATCTTTCATTGCGAAAGGAGCTACATCAGCGATTAATTTTGAAAGTCCTAGAATTCCCATAGCGAATGCTCTATAATAACAAATTTAATAAATATCAATAATGCAATCTTTATTTCCACGGTATATTTTGACATATGCGAATTGGCGGGTTTTATTGCATTTTTGTTTTGTTGTGCACATTTTTAGTACAAACCTATGATAGCGAAATATGTATGCATGGATGAAAGTGATTTCATGATTTATATAAAATACTCGGCTTGATAAACTGAATGTTTAGAATTACATTTTGATTTGATTTAAATACAATTAGCAAAAAGTCATTATATATAAACAATATTTTATATATGACTTATTTTACTCTTAGTTTATATGAAAAGCAACTTTTTGAACAACAGTTAGTCAAAGTTGGAACTTGTGCAACAGAGTGTGAGTAGCGCAGTGGTATAACAACTATAAAAGCCTATTTCGTAGTCGGAACTTGAACTCAAAACTTTATTAGTTTAAATATGATTGGGACAATAATGTTGATGACTCAAGCACGACTTAAGTTAGTATAGAGACTTAAGTTAGGACTGTAAAATCGGCACTTATTGTTTATGATACTCTGTTCATGTGAAAAATCTAAATGTACTTCAAAGCGTAATAAATAAAAATTAAAAAATGATTAATTATTTAAATGTTTCTAAAGAACTTTCATATAATAATTAAATAATAAATTGTGGCTTATTTTCTGTTCAATAATTCATCTTATTTGTTACTAGTGACAGAGACAGTGTTCGGTATATTAAATTCGATTAAAAACTATGACGAGGCTGGAGTCGCGGTGCAATAATTATATAAATTGCTTACCTTATTCTAATAAAGTTCATAAATTATATTATATATAATAAAACTAATTTTACAGAATGTTCCAGCTAAAACTTCTATCATAATTAATGCCATTTATAGTAATTATATTTACATACAAAAAAATTTCAAAATAAATATTATATTATTAGTTAATCGTTCAACACTTCTTCGCTAATTAAATTTAGCCTATTAATCTAATACTAAAATTGTGAAGTGAAAAATTGTAATATCGCATATACATAAGTACAACGGGATTAACTAAAAGTTTTCATAATTTAGCTCATTAGTATGCCTTGTAATATATTAATCTGTTGAAGGATTAAGGATCACCTTTTATACATATTATTTAGCAAAAACGAAACACTTTAATATTTTAGCTATTTAGCATAAGTTTAGAGTGCTAAATAAATGTCATGAACAGACCTACAATAAATTTTGCACAAATCTAATACAAATTATATAAATCTATAATTATTTGTTTATTTAAAAGTTTGCATTTAAAGTATAAGAATATTAAATACGGATAAGATGGAAGTATGCCGAACTTATTTATTTAACTATATCATGAAATGGAAAAATTGTGTGCAGTACATATCGGCTATGTGTACTGAATACTGTACTAACTACGAATAAAAAAGCACTTGTGCAACATGATTTTTTATGCAAAAATTGTTAAAATGCAACAGTGTTGTGCTAGTTACGCGCTGGACAAATATACAAGTGAAAATAAAATAGTCAAGTTTATGCTCTAAAAGCATGTCGGCTGTTGAAAAAGAAAAAAACGCTGAAAATATGGTACGTAATTTAATAAAATTTCTTTTAAAACATAATTTATAAAAAGTGTTTTATATTGTAAATAAAACAAATAAAATTCGTGTCGTATATTACAGTGAAAATCTAAAAGAAAAATCTTTTGAGCGCGTCATAACGAATCTTTCTGCTTTCTTTTTTCTATTTTGCCTGTATATAAACATGGCGTCAGTTTACTTTTTCTAATTTTATCGTCTATTTCGTTTTCGCTCACGTTTGATATGCATTTGTGTGTGTGTTTTTCAATGTGTTAAAGAAATTAAATTTGCCGTAGAAAGTATGGTAAAGACGAACAAATCAAAAATACAATAGTGAATAAGTAGCAACAATTATGAAAATTTAACAGAATATAATTTTTTTATAGAAATATAATAGCATTCATTGAAATGTGCAGAATTTAATCAATGACGATAACAGCACAAGAAAGTTATTAGTAGCTTACGTGTGTGGTAACATACATATATATTCAGCAAATAGTTGCTTTACTGTTTTCAAAAAAAAAAAAACAAAGAAGTCGGCAAATGTTAATAAAGAATTAACTACAAAATACTTATGTAGCGAGTAAATACCTATAAGTTTTATTTTATTTTCATAAATTATAGGAGAACGAAAGTAAAGCAGAAAAGACCAAAGCTGTGCATACTGAGTCCACAGATGAAAAATCAAAGGTTAATGATAAAGAAGATGCTGTTGCAAGTGAAAATTCGAATGACAGTGAAGGAGCTGGTGCAGGTGATACCGGCGCAACGGAAGATGATAAAAAGCCTTCTGCCAACGATGATAAAAAACCAAGAAATGAGGATACAGGTAAGAGTATTCCATCAAGTTAGACTCGTAGAAATATGTGTTATATTTATATATATTTTAATGCTTTGCGGGACAAAATTGAGAAACAGAAACAAAAATGAAAATGAAAACGTGAATGCAAGAAAAACGAAAGAGAAACAAGACAAACAATATTTTACACACACGGTCGCTTACATTGACGTTGGCGGTGCGTGCTAATGGCTTTGTTGATATGAATTGTGCGCGTTTTTTAATGACCATGTTCAAATCCCGCCAAGAGCTCTCAGCTAACAAAAATGTTTAGATTTTTGTGTTTAATATAAAAGTAAAGTAAAATACCCATACCCTTGGTTTCAAATTTAATACAAGATCTTGAACAATATGATTTTGTATAATAAACTCAAGGAATAAAAAATTCATTATCACAGTTTTTCTGTCTCTAATATAAGATGTTAAACTTCCCAAGCGTGAATACAAATTTATTAATTTTTTATTAAATTTATTTTATTTAAATAAAATTAAATTTCTATTGTTTTATATTATTATTTAGTGTCAGTAAAAATGAAAAGTTTCAAAATCAGACGAAAAGTATTCAAAACAAGTACCACTCAAGTCTTTAAATTTATATGTATGTATTCAAAAAATATAATAATTTGTATTTATTTTAATATTAAAAAATATGCATTTAAAATACAAGAATTTAATAAACACAAAGTTAAAAATGTCATGGTACATCCGCACGAACGATATGCTAAGAAAACTTAGAATAGTATCGGTCAAAAAATACATAAGGGACAGAGCCATGAAGCTGTATGCGAAAACCGACAGGCTGCCCTACTTAGCACTATCTAATCTCAGAATAATCACTAACCGCACGATACGGTACGCACATCTTTGATCAGTTATTGAATAATCACGAAGCTAATGAGGAATACACAAATTAGTCAGTGAGATAGGTGAAACGCCTCAGCTATTAAAGAGTGAAAGTGCCCAGATGCACTAACTCGGAAAAGGCTCAAAATTAATATTAAAATTAAAGCAGATAAAGTATATATAAATAATTTTTTTTTTTGTAGTTGTAAAATATGTATAGATGTAATTATCTTAAACAAATAAAAATAGAGACAATTTTGTTTGTTAAACAAAAAAAAAAAAATAAATAAATAAATAAAGAAACATATGTGTAGAATTTGATAAAAACCCATTTGAACAGACATTAAAATTAAATTCGTTAAAAAAATATATAACTTAATTTCTTCTTATGTCTGCTTTTAAAACCTTCTCGTTGGTCAAACTGGTTAATGGTTTAGTGCGCTGGAGTTACCAGGTTCGATACTCAACCGGGGGGACGGACAAGCTCATATATAATTGTTGTCTGTTTCTTTGATTCTCCTTGATTATTGTTCATGCAAAACCCTGAATAATATGGTTTTGTTCAGTAAAATTCAAGGAATAACAAATTTCAATATTTCATAATCGTTTCTCCAAACATGAGACATTCGATTTTCCAAATTGAAGACAAATAAATATTATTTTTAATAAACAAAAAGTTTCAATACAAAAAAAAAATCTGTTTAAATAAAGTTTTAAACTATATTAATTTTTTTTTTTTATTGTTCTAATGAATGTAGATTCAAAATCGTCCACGCAAAAGGACACAAATTCAGAGAAAGTGAAATCTGAAGATGAAGAAGCTAGTCTTGATGGTGCATCTGATGATAAGAAAAAACCCAGCGTCAAAGAAGATAAAAAGTCAAATGCTAAGGAGAAGAATAATGGAACTGCTGTTGTCAATGATAAGAAAAATGCTGAAAGTAATGATGCAAATGAGAAAAATAATAATAAAAACGATGAAAATGAGGATGAAAAAGAAGATGACGAAAATGTGGTAGCTCTATCTGAAATATTCAAAATTAATGAAAATATCAATAAAACCCGAGTAGATGGTCTGCAAACTCTGCATGCAGTGAGTATTTTTTATAACATGATTAAATCTTAAAATTTTATATAAAAATTTCCTGATTTTCTATTCATTTAGATTTGCTTTGGTTCCCCGGGAAAATATAATGTTGTAAAAAAAAATTTAAGAACATTTGCTGGATTTGAATATGAGAAAGATTCAACTGAATACAAAAATAAATTTAACCAAGTTAAGAAAACAGATGTCAAAGCACTTAAAGCTATATGCGAGATACTTTGTCTGGATCGTAAAGGTAAGAGCATTAACAATTATGGTATTTCTGTATTAAAAATGAATGAGAAATTTTTAAATTAAACATTTTTTTTTTAGGTAATCGAGAGGAAATATCAAAACGTGTTTTTAAATTCTTAGTGGAACCTGATGAAAATTTATGTGTCGAACCGACAGAAGATGATGAGGTTGATGAGGAAGAGGAAGAAGATGCTGTTGAAGAACAAGAAGAAAGCGAAGATGATAAACGTAAGAAAAAGCAGCCAAGTGGACGAGGGTCTGCAAGAAATTCAACTGGTCGTCCAAGACGCTCAACAGCTGGAAAAAGTAAATATATTTCTTCTCCATATTAAATAAAAATTGAATATTAATATATACATATTTTTTCTTTTGTTATTAAGAAATGTCAGCTTATGTTGACTTTTCAAGCTCGGAAGAGAGTGAACGTAAAGCTGTACCGACCAAGCGACGAAGAAATAATGATGATTCTGAATCTGAATCAGATGTAAAAATAATCAAAATTATATATTATTAGTACATTTATTTAGTATTTTAATATTACAGTACAATCCGTCTGCTAATTCGGATTCTGACGCTGGTCGTGCGCGCAAAACATCTATACGTAGTGGCCGTGGTAGACCCGCACGTAAAAGTCAACGAGGAAATTCAGATTCTGAAGAAGAAGAATCAGAATTATCTGATGCAGATAGCGATGAGCCTAAACGCAAACGTCCTTCCACAAGTAAGCGCGGCAGGGCCGTTAATGTACGTGGACGAGGACGCGGTGCTTCAGCTCGAAAACGTAAAGATTCTGAAAGTGATGAAGTTTCAGAAGATGAGGAAGAGGATGAATTGTCTGAATTTGGTAGTGACCAGAGTGAAGTAAGTATTAATTTGTTTAATAATAATGGTTTGATTATCTATAATTATATTAATGAACAATTGCAAAAGATTTATTTCAATCTATATTATAATTTTATATATGTGTCAAGTGTTTCCTCATGTTTAATTTTCTTGTTTTTTTAGGAAGAGGAAAGAACTAAGAAAAGTAAGAAACCCGTGACACCTGCTAAAAATAGTAAACCTGTTTCTAAGGCAAAAACACAAACTAAGCGTAAGTACTTCGTACTTCTAATAAAAATATATTATTAAAGTAACACTTTTCGTTATTTACGTGAATGTCAATATTTTCAGCGAGTGGTCGGCCAAAGAAAACAAAGAAAGCATCATCTGATGAAGATGATAAAGATGAGTCAGACGAGGAGCCACTGACTAAAAAGGGCAAAACATTCCCAACGGTAAGAGTTTGTTTTTTTATGAATTTATTTGCATTATTAACTTTAAAAATACTTCAATATTGAACAGGACGAGCAAATCAAGAGTTATGTAAAGGAAATTTTAGATAAGGCTAATTTAGAAGAAATAACTATGAAAACTGTTTGCAAACAGGTTTATGCTAAGTATCCTGATTTTGATTTAACAGACAAGAAGGACTTTATAAAAGCTACTGTAAAATCGGTACGTATTTTATGCTCTTAATTTTTATACTAAATTAAGTGTTAATTTATATTATTATAAATTTATAATATAAATAAGTTAAACAATATTACAATTAAAATTAATATTATAAATTATATATATATAAATGTACCATATGTAATATGTTATATAGCAAAAGTGATTTTATTTTTTATGATTTTATGTTAAAATGGCCTAATTGTTTAACAAAGATGTAATACTTCGTTTCGATATATATCTACACATTGGAAGGCGACAGTTCCAATTTCCTTTTTAGTAAAGTAGTTAAGTCATGTAGTACAAATTACACATTTTAAATTGACGTAATAAGTTGCATTCACATCAATATGAAATAAACTCTTTCACTTACTCACTGATAGAATAAGCGGTAAACTTAGCTTTACTGTACACATGTCAACAGAAGTCGAAGTGTCAGCTAACGATGCTAAAAGTGTGAAAAACAATAAGAATAGATAATAAAAAACTACACTTAGAAGACGGAGTAAAGATGAGATAAAATTTCTTTAGAACACCTTTATATAAAAATGTTTAATGTTCAAATATTTGCTAGTTAAAGTTGAATAATATTAATATTAAATTTCCAGTTTGAATCCTTAAAGTAATGACTGTTACATCTTCACGCAAACTATTTATGCTCTAAGTACAAATCCATTCATTACTTGTGCCCAGCTGCAGCTTTATTCATTATGATAAGACGGATTTGTTTACATGTTCTAAAATATATATATATATATAAACGACAATATACAATATCATCTAATATATTCCCTATTGAAAGTGAAGAGCAGCGCTTAATCGTCGCAATTGACGAGTGACTTCGGGACGTAAACACCCACACTCTCTTATCTCAAACACGCTATATTCATCTAATCACATTCTGATTTATTTGTATCGGAATCTCTTTCTTGTTTCCTGCTATATAGATTTTCACGAATTAGACCAACAACAGTTTTGTGTTCCTGCTTTATAGGTTTCCTGTGTAGTTTAATACAAAAACAACAATATTTAATTTTTTTTTTCACTTATTTCTTCCCTGATACATTCATGTCTGTAAAGTTTACCCACCAAATTATGTGAATAATATAATAAAATATTTAAGCAGTTCCTGCTTCATCGAATTCGAACAACTGAAACGAACATTTCGAACATATTCTTGCTACTGGAAGATAGTTTATCCCTATTTGTACACAATTACAGTTTGTATTCCATTTCATTAATATTTATTTTCTTTTATACAAACACATGAATAACATCACATTGTCATCCTCGAGCGTATCGTATACTCGAAGAACATCAGAATGTGTGAAACTTCGAACAGCTCAAATAATCTTAAAAGCTAGAATAAAAACTGAAATTACTTTTGCAATAATAACATATAAATGAAACTTTTTTTAATTAAAACAATAAAATTATTAATAATTTCTTTATTTTCAGTTAATTGCTGCATAAGTTTTAAATCTAGACAAAATGGAACCAAAATTAAATACACAAATTAATAATTTACAATCAATTAATTTTACAAAAAGAATTTTGTATAGTTTTTACAGTACATTGAAATTTTTTTTGTCTTAAATATAAATTTTTATAAAATATGAAAAGAAATTTCTTTTAATTTAATTTGTTTTCCTTTTTTCTAATTTCATTTGTTTTCCTAATATTATCACTGGCGTCAGTACAAAAATAAAAATTAAAGTAAATATTGTATTTTTAATATTTGGACATAAATAAATTTTTAAGAAAAGTTAAATTATATATAAAAAATATGACGAGAAAAAAATTCCCAAAATGAGACGACGCATGAAATTTATTTTAGTTATATGTGAAGTAAATAAAAATTAAATTTGTATAAATGAGCGATAATATATAAATTATATATATAAAGTTAATAAATTAATTAATTATTATATTATAATTAAATTAAATTGCAATTTTTTTATGAAAAAAAAATGTATTTTTAGCTGTTAAGGTACTTTGCTTTAAATGTTATATATCTTTTCTGTCAATATATATATATATCTATTTTCCAACTTTTGTTCTTAAAATTATTTTTATTATTTTTTTTGTTTCTTAATGCAATAGAAAACTTCAAAAGAAATAATTCTGTATGTTATAGTAAATAGTTGACTTCCAATGGCATAAATAATCTAAGAGAAGGTTGGAGGTTGTTTCAATGAAATAAATGTCACTAGTGTGAGATACTGACGTTTTTATTCTTTCTTCAGCTTAAACTATTAGATATCTTTCAAAACAGCACAGAAGAAAATTGATTTTTAAAAACTAATAGTAATATTTCAGCAATTTAATAAATAATTTATGTAAATGCTGCGTTTAGCTTAAATCTGGTTTGGTTATAATTCACATCCACAATGAGTTACTTTTAAAGGTTAATAAGATGAAAAATACGTCCTCTTTTTAAACTTCCTATGTCGTTGTCCCGTAAGAACACTCACATTTCCCGTTTTTTAGAAATTGTGTGAAATTATAAAATCTACAAGAGCTTAAAATCTGTGCCTGACTAGATTCTCATTTCAGTGAGAAAGTTCACAATGTGTTGTGACACGTCTCGAGAATTTTTTACGCAGTTATTTTTTTTCTAAAAAAAGTGATTTGTGGCAATTAAAAAAAAAAAAACGAAGAAATGCATTTGATGCTCAGAATTTAAATAATCCCGTTTTATGCCAACAGATATCTTGTAACATTATGTATGAGTATTTTTTTATACTATATCAATCCAATTTCTTATTCAAAATAAAATGGTTGGAGTTATGAGCAAATGAAATTATATATAAAGTTAATTATTTTTGCCGAAAAGCCTGTGCTTGTCTTTTCTTTGCTATTCGAATACTTCTTCATTATAAAAGTGATTTTTATGTGGAAAGTAGTGCTTATTTTTAAATAAAATTAACAAAAAAAAATAAAATTAACAAAAAAAAAATAAAAACCAACCAAAACTAATACAACTTTTTATTTTTAAAAATGTGTCTGCCTCATACTTTCCTTACCTATTCAAAGTGTTTATAGAACATAGAGCTTAAGTAGGTACACTCTATGAAAGTAGTTATGTGTAACAATACAATAGCTTTTCTGTGCTGAGTTTGTAAATATTCTGGCTTTTAGTTAGCGATTTATATATTTTACATATCTATAAGTTAGTGATTCAAAATGTTCGATCAATTCGAATTCGAATTTCTCAAATGTTCGAACATTTCTTATCTGTTCTATGTATAGCAGCAAATGCACGAAAACCATATAATATTCGAAAATTTCCGAACGGTTTACTTTGCTTAAAGACGTGTCATATTCGAACATATTCGAACTTAATCAATTTGGAATCAAACATCAATACTCTCAACTCTTACTTCTATATTATTGTAGTATTTTTTAATAGACCACAAATAAATTTCAGTCATTTCAGTCTTTGATAATCTGTATTATTAATTGATTTTTTTTTTATATAATTGCATATAAGCATATAAATTTTTATATATATTGATAAAAAAAAGAAAAAAAACGTCGAAGTCGATTGTAAAGAATTGATGCGTTGCGTTAATAGGTTTCTCGTAAGTGGGTGGGTTGAACGGGGGATTTTATAAACGATATTTGATATTTTTGTCAACATTTATACAATATAAAATATATATTAATTGTCATCTTAGAATTTTTTTATAAATATTAAAATTTGTTTTTAATTTATAAAACTTAATATAAATATGCAAATAGAAAAAAAATAAAAAGAAATAATAAATAACACAAATATATATATATAAGAACGATTATGTATTTATAAAACAGTAGCACACTTTTATGCAGCAAGAAATATGAGAAGAATATAAAATAAAACTTAAATAAAAACAAAAATCCACAACACAATGTTATAATAAAATAAAAACATTCAAGTCTATAGAATTAACTAATATTTATAATAGAATTGCATGAACATTTTGTTTGTATTAATTTTAATTCTGTTCTTTATTAAATGTTCTTTAAAAATAAAAATATTTGCAAAAAAAAAAAATTTTTTTATTATTATTTTTTTAAAATATATATCGAAATGCAAAACATAATATAGTTATATAGAGAAGTGAAGTTTCTGTAAATAAACACAGTAGTTACTGTTCTCCAGATTTGCTTTTGTGCTGCTGTAGTAGTATTATTAGAGAGATGATCGGTATTGAATCATATAAGTTAAGGCAATGATGATCGAGATAAGCATATGTAATTATATAATGAATAAATAATCCTTCGTCCTATTTTGCTTCAGAGCTTCCTAGTTAATGATTTAGTGATTTTGCTTGTATTAATTTTTTGTCGTGGTTCTAGGCATGAGGCAAATTCATATTCAAGAGACACTTGTCTACGACATTTACAAGGAAAGCGCACTAAGCAGAGGAACAGCATAGGCGAGGAAGGATAGAGGAACAGCATAAGTTTATTTATTTTCCAAATTAAAAGCCTTTTTAAGTGTATATGGGTAAGTCTACTAGGTGCTGTTTGCTAGCTAGCGGTTTATCAACTACGACTAAAAGTTAAAGCTATAATATAGCTAAATATTTTCAAACATTGGTAGCAGGATATGGCAGTTCGATAATACATAGAAAAATTGACCAATAAGCCTGTGACAACACTATATTTTGTATTAAAATTATTTGGTCATAAAATAAATAAAAATTTGTCTAAATATATACAAAAGTAATATATATTTAAAAATTTCTAGTTTTTTTTTTTTTAATTATTTTTTTTTCATATACCTCTACTCTGCATACGGTATTTATTATAAGCAATGCTTCCATTTTTCATACTGACATCAATATACAAATAATCCAAAACTTCAGGCATAAGTCAAGATATAACTAGACATTAAACAAATTTCTACTCTAAACGCTTGCTTATATACCCATAGACTATGCTCGTCTTAGAAAATTATGACGCAAAATGTACACACCAAATTGAGTTCAGACCTGCTAAACAGGTTTTTATCACGTGTACGTAAAACGTTTATACGTGTGCCCTAAGTTCAGTTCTAACCCTCATTATATTGTTTGCATATCTCTACATTGATGAGCTCTCTGTCTCAACAATATCACAATCTTCTTTCACTTTTAACTGAACTAGTAGTATCCCCTTTCGTACGTCTTGCATGTATTCGTCTTGAAATCTATTCATATTTTCTGTTTTACAAGTGTACCTTATTATAACAAGACCGACTGTGATTTATTTGAGAAAAAGTCCTAAGCTAACCTGGACAAATTAGGGTTATCGATAAGCCTAAAAATTACCCTTAATTTAAACTCCAACAACTTTTTAGTTCAATGAACGTCAGATTGAGATACTAAATCCATTTCCCGACAATCGCAAGACCAAAGAAAATGAGATGAACATAATATAGCAATATTATTTATATATAATAACAATGTTTACATTGAAAGAAATATAAATTCTATTTTAATTTTTTTATTAACAAGTATTATGTTGATTATAAATAAATTTCACATATAAAAATAATATCAATGGCAAAAACAAAATTACCTGCTTTTTTGTAATTATATATATGTACTTAAAAGAAATGAAAATTTTTACTGGAACTATGCTATGGGTGAGGTGAGTTTCATTATACATATTTAGTATAGTATAATATGTATATCCTGAAACAAAGGATCCAATTATGGCTGAAAATATTAGAACAAAAATTCTCACAACAAACATAATCTGTTAATCTGATCAGTGATATGTCGTATATAATGTATATAAAATCTTTGGAATATGTTTTTGAGGTACAACTAATATTTTCTACAATTTTAAGATTTTGAATATTTTATGAACACATTTAGAATATATAAAATTACTTAAATCTAAATTAAAGGTAAAATTTGAAAAAAGTTAATACAAGAATCTATAAATATTGAAAGAAGGTTTATTGCATATTTGTTGAAATTAACTCTTGATCTGAAAATATAGCAGAACACAGAACATAAAGGTACACATATTTATATATATACAATAATTTAAAAAAATATATATGTAAAAGTTATATGGCATATACGAGTATTTATATATATGTATATTAATATCTGAACTACCCCTAGCATTTTGATTGCGAATTTAGTTTTATACATCCTTCCCATATAATTTTAGATTATTTTTAAAAAGATAATATACTTACATATTTACTTTCTCAAACTATCGCGTATCCATTAGACTTCAAAATCCAGATATGACATTGTGTAACTATCGAACTTAAGAGCACATTTTTATTACTACTGTATTATATGTCCATTCAGTTTTTCAGAATACAGCTTAGATGGCACTTAAGATTTATTGTCTATTATATATTATATTAATAGATCGAAAATGTGAATTTAAATTACACGAGCATTTAATAAAATTATTATATATAATAATGTATGCAATTTGTACTTTTACACCTCTTGAAGTCAGTTTTATGCCCACATATCCCATTGACTAAATTTCTTTGATATATTAATTAGTTTAAGATTATATCATTTTGAATATTATTATTATCTAGAATATTATTATTATTAAAAGGGATCGTGCACTGCGACCTTTATATATCTATTGTGCCCCTTAGTCGGATTAGAGTGTTTCTCCAAGTCCGATTTATTGAAAGACAGTATGAAGCCTACCTTATGATGCATGAAATACCCTCCTAGGTGTTTTTTCCGCTTGTGCATCAGTGCCGGGCACTCCCCAAGCACATGGTATGCAGTTTCTCTCTATTCTCTGCAGTATCTACAGTCTGAGTTGGATTGAATTCCTAACTTCGATAGGTGATTATTCAATTTACAGTAATCAACCAATAACCTCGTCATAATTCTTAGAATAAGAATAAGTTTAATTCCAAATTTATTATCACCATCAATCGTTCCTCACACCCCCATATGTTTCGGATGCCATTGTATTTATCAAGGGTTTTATACTTTTAGGCTCACAAAATTAGTGAGACCCAATTTCGAATAATTACAATAATAATGAGTTAAAGTGAACATAGCAAAAAAATTAATTGAATTTTGATACAAACCCTGAAATTAAAACCTTTAGTTTGCTGCACCAAGATTTATTTAGGATTCCAAATGCAGAAAATGACATTACATTAATCTATTAATATTATTCGCGTAATATTACATTTTTTACGTTATTTCAATAAAAACATTTTTAGTCCCCGATTCTTTTACTTTTCTTTTATTTTGATACTGCATTGTTTACGAGAGTTTAACTCTTGAGTTTATATAGATAGATGGAGTTTATATTAATACCTACTATTGTTTGGGTATCTGAGATGAATCTTTACGGTTATTTAGATTGGAAAAAATTATATGGACATTACCAGTTTCATCGGCGGATAATAGATTCTTCAATGATGTACTGTTATAATTTTATAACTTTTGAACGAATAGAGACGGTATGATTGCTTCTGAAGAGACAGAATATTTTTTTTAAAGTGCTGGCTAATAACACCAAAATCAAAGAGAAATAACTGACGAAGATCAACAAGAGGAAAAAGCAGCGAACATGAGCAAATGCTAGCCTACAGCACTAAAAACGAAAAAAACACTGTTATACTTAAAAAGTATGTTTTTTTATACTGTTTCTGTTTATTATCACGAATGCATGTTATGCAGAGAGTCAATCCAACTGCTGGCACTATTTTATTGGATTTTAATTGTGCTTAAATTTAAAAGAAAATAATCTTGGCATGGATATTTACACAAGAATATGCGTATTTGTAACAATATGGACAAATTATAAGATTTATAATAACCATCTTCCGGAGATACAGTCTTCCTTTCTTCCCGAAATCAAAGTTTAGACAGAAAAATAATAAGCGAAGTTAGACTCGAAAATTTCTTGAAAATTCATTCAGTGCACAGTAAGAAAATGTTTAAGTTTGATTGGAATTGAATATGACTTCCAACTTTTCATATTCCACAAATATGTTAATTATTAATTAATGAAAAAAAAAACAAACACCAAAAATTAAGAATTTGTTTAATTTTACTTAACACATTCAAAAATTTTAATAAAGTACGAGTATCTAAACTTTATTACGAATACACGAGTTAGCACATCGATATCATATACCATATATCATATAATCTGCCTGGCAACGTCTGCACTAGATGAGGTGCAGAGCTGTGGGCATTAAAATAGTTTTATGACAAGAATGTTTGTGATAAAATACAATTTATATTAGATATAATACTGTATACCAAAATGTTATAGATGTATAAAACTAAAGTCGCAATCCTTTTGTTTAAAGCAGACAAAATAATAACTGCTTATTACAGATTAATATTTATATTAAAAAATAAAAAATAAATAAAAAGAAAGAAATTTGTGTAAAATAAAATAAAAAATATAGTAAAATTACATTTATTGTGATATGGAAGCGTTGGATTGGAAGTGAAAGGAAGCCTTCATCACAGCCTGAAACTGTTCAGTCCATTCGACTGGTTGAAACCTGCATATTTTTAAAATACATATTTTGTATCTATGTATACATGTTTGTATAAAAATCAGTAGGAATATGTAACGCATACGGTTGGTAGTGCGAAAAACTACGAAATACAAAAATATAATTAAATGATTTATATATACGTATATATATATAATATAAAAAGTTTATATATGTACACTTAAGCTGATTAATATGTTTATATTGTATATGCATTTCGAATCAGTAAATAACAATTATATGGCGTTATATAAACTAGAGAATATATGTATGTAAAAAATTTTAATATCTACAATTATGTGTGATACGTACCAAATGTGGAACTAATATCTAACAACTTCGAGAATGGGAACTTGGCGCAAACCCCAATAGCAGTGAGACAAGTAATAAATCTGGCTCAAAGTGCTGAAAGATATATTAGCACAAAATAAAAATAAAAAACAAACAAATTTCATATATTGAAAATATATGAAATTCTATTTTACTATTTAATTTTTTTTTCATTTTTAATATTTATTTAAATGTATTATTTCATAATTAAGTATTTACCTACAAACAATTTATATAAATATTGTATGTGTTTCCTATAAATTATTTATATTATTTTGTTAGTTTTATTTGTGTATTATTAATGGTGAGGGTCATATAAAAAATGTTGCAACATTTTATAGAGACAATAAGTATTTTTACATAAAAATTTTTTTATATATTGCATTATATTATTATTAAAAACATTTATTTTCTTGCGTCAATACGTAACTTAAAGGCTATAATAAAAAAGTTCATATGCAAATTTTATTAAAATTATATATCAAATGGCAAAACCTTCTTATATATTATTTATTTTTAAAAAAATTTAAAAACAGAAATAAAACACTAAGCTTACATTTTGGAAAACTCATCTTACCACACGCACCAAACGCTCATAATCTTAAACCTTTGAATTTCGGTTAGGGCTCTAAGTCAGCAACGAAGCTGGAAAATATAAATGCTGATAAAATATTGAATATTTTAAGTTTGTAACCATGTGGCATTAATTACACCGCAGAAATTATTTTAATATATTTATGCAATTATTTTTTAAGTTTTATAGATATTTATATAGAACATATTTCGAAAAATTTATATATGTCATTGGTGCATTTAATTAGAATACACTCACTAATCGTACTAACACAGAAGCTTACCGTAGCCGATATGTCTGTATGATCCTTGGCTATGATGGAATTATATCCAAATTTAGCTGAACATTTGTACCAAATGATGTTAGGTAAGTTTGCAGGTAAATTTTCGTTTCGACACACTAAAATCTCATACTGTTTGACATACTACATTGAATAAAAACTCTTCCATCTTAAAATATATTCAACTAAGACGATATACCAAATACGATGAAAAATCTTCTTCAGTAAAAATTTGAAATTAAAAAATTACATCTATCCTTACCAAAAAAAATTAATTCATAGTCATATTAATAAACCAATATGAAACATACGATCTATAACTATGGAAATCTCCGCCAAAATCAGACAAGGAAAGAATCTAATCATGCCCACAATACAATTTCACCACAGCATGTCACGAATGACTGGCTACATTGTGATCAACACTACGAAATACTGTAGGAATTTTACAGGTCTAATGACAGATAACTAAATCGTGTGTAAGGAATTTACCGGTCTAATGAAAGATATCTAAACCCTATATATAAATATTATTTACGGCAGTTATTTTACTACTTATGTCTCATCCATTAATCAACTTTATCTGCAGGCAGTTATGAAATTTCATTTGTAAGATTCATTCGCTTATCTTAAAAACAAAAAACCAGACATAGTTATATAGATAACTAATTGAATATATACAGTTTACGGTATGAGGTATGATTTTTTAATTGCAAGTATTTTGCCGGATCCAATATATATATATGATATTCATAAATTGGACAGGACACAAGTTAAACCCTTGATACTTGCAGTCTTATAAAATTATTCATGAAAAAGTATTTCAAGAAAGACCACTAATGATAGGTAATTGGCGATATTCGAAACAGCTATATGGTCAGGTCAGTCAAACATTCAATTAAAATCAAAAATTGCAATTAATTTAAAATAATAAAAATATTGTTGTCGTAATTCACTACTGTTCAAAACCCTCTCCAACTTCTCGTCAAAATTGACTTTAAAATCAAATGAAATATTTTTTGCATGAGTGAATGCTTGGGCCTAAAAGTGCTCACCGGTACATACAACCAACACAAGCAGAATAAATAAAATAGGACAAGCTCAATAGATTCTATTGTAAACTGAGTCAAATGACAGTTGATAAGTAGAGCTTGGTGTGCAAGATAGCGTCCTAAGAAGAGACTTTAAATCAAATATATTATATATTATAGCAATGCTATAACAAGTAAGGATTGTAACTAACAGTCTTTGCCGTTCTATAAATTTTAATCATACAATAAATATTTGACTAACTATTTGACATGCTGACTCCTTAACGTGATAAAAATTTTATCGAAGTTGGTACACAATGCTAAAAATATCGAAGATGTAAACCAGTCCCGGAGCCACTTGTCCCTATCAACGACCAAGTGCCGTTCGACAACTCCCAAGGCGACTTCACAAGCAGGTCCCAGCGGTCTACAACAAACAACAACAAGACATGAACCACAGAAATGTACTCAACTTCATCAAGAGAGACAAACTAAGACAATTTTATACAATACTATGTGGGGCACATCAGTTTTGATTAATTAAATATTCATTTCATTACTAAACTTATTTTCATTATTATATCAGAAATATATTGCGATATATTATTATTCTAAAATTATATATTTCAATTGACAAAATTTATATTAAACGGAAAAGTTTATTCGAGACAGAAAAATATTTTCTATATCGTTGATCATCTACACCACAATTAAAAAGTATATTTAAATAAATAATATATATATACTCGTATTTATATTATATTTGAAAGTAAATATTTGTCAATTAAAATCAGTTCATATAAATAGCATATAGTCAAAAAATCCATTCTAAAAACAATATAGAATTTTAATTCATAATACAGTACCCTTATGCTGGGAGCGTAGAACTGTGACCCACTGTGGCATTTATCTCATCGTATAGCAATAACAGGTAATGAGTGTAGACCCTTCAAAGGTTTAGAGTCTGCTACCCTGTTAAACATTATAAGCGGATAAAATGGTTCCAAAAAATTTATATAATCAGATATATTTAATTTAGAATATAATAAATATATGGGTTATATATATTTTTATATATTGTATAAAATGTATAGTTAACTTTAAATTTTTAAACTGAAATGAGAAAAATGCATAAATAAAATCATATAAAAAACAAATTTTATAAACATATATATATATATATTTGTGAAATATAAAGGTATAGTCGTACCATTTGATTTAACACGCAATTTTAAATATTTTATAATCTACAATTAATTGCTTATATCAGTTTGCACATATAGTAATTCTATGAAATAATATTTTTTGTTAAGTTGCATTTATATATATTTTATATATTATTAATTTAATATACATAGATAGGTGTATGTTTTAAACAACTTCAATATATTTAAAAAAATTCTTTTTATAAATAATTAATTTGTAATAAATTGGTAGCTTACCAAAGCAAACACAGTTAGCTGAAGGTTCGATATAGTTGCTCTTATCATCTTTACTACTATAGATATCTATCTGGAAGAGTCGCTTGTTGAAGTTGGCTCTTAAGCGTTTGCAAGTTCTCTTTCAATAAGTCGATTTGCTATATACATGTATGTATATTATATATTTTATGTTTTTTTAATTATATATTTTAAAGGAAATATATGTAGATTATTTAAAATGACTTCATAATATATTATTCAGTTTTAAGTGGTAAAAAATGTAGCAATTGAGAATATTTTTTTTTTAAGAAACACATCACTAAAAATATTTTGTAAGCATTCAAAACATCAGCACTGCATTATATATACTGATTAAATTTATATTTTTATTATCAAGTTCCAAAAACGCTCTAAGGGATGGTCCTTAACGCAGATATTCGAATTTATTATGTTATTTCTCTGTCTACATTAAAAAAACTAGAGTAACCAAATTATTAATTCAGATTTATTTTTTCTATTAACCCAATGTGACTTATAATAACCTATATAATATATATTATTTCTTTACTATCTTTATTTTTCTTGCGTTTAGTTATAAATTTTATAACACTTAGGTCTTTAAACACTATTTATATGGCAATAAATTTATCAAAATTATCCCAAGCCTGTAGAAAAATCTTTAAAATTTTTATATATTGTATATAAATACATAATTTGGAAAATAAAAAAAAAATATAACTAATATTATCCTTGAAGACTTTGTAATTATGATGTCCTATATATTATGGAAATATTTAGATAAAATAACAATTTAATATAGATAATTAAAAGCTGACTCTAATAAAAAATCCGATTAAAGTAGTACTATTTAAAATATATGATATTTATATGTACTTTAATAAATTTTTACTTATTAAACTTTAATAAATTACTACTAAATCTTGTACATTAAAACGAAAAACTATATTTTTACTAGTGCATTGGTATTTTGCTAGGTGATTTTCGTAAAACTAAAATCAATCTATTCACTACTTTTGTTGAAGAATAGAATCTATTCTATTTACACCAACTACCGCTAGTGTAAATAGAGCCAATGAATTATGGCCCAAGAAGAATGAGAATGAGACCACAAAATGTTAATTTTTGTGGCCCTTACATAAGATTCCCCATGAAATTTCCCATTACGCAAGTTCAATCAGCTCAGCTATTGTTAATGCCATTGAGACAACTTTGATTTCTTGTACGTCCCTTGTATGTTTCACACGTAACCCTTAAAGTCCGTTTCCTATAGGATTGTATTCTGCGCGAGACTTAAGGAGAATATGAGCATGAGTAATGTTTTAAAAGAAAGTGATATATGTTTTCACACAATTTTGTATTCTGTACAAGTTTTGGATAAAAATGATATACCGAATCGAATTGTTGTCAGCCAATGTAGTGGTACATGTAGACACTGAAATATTGTTCCCACATATACAAATCTATATTTTGCCTTGGTAATTGCACATATAGAGTATTCTTCTTCTTAATCTTCGCTTAATACTCCAAATAGTGTTGTCAAATTATGGACCATCCCCTCTTCCTTAAACTCATGTTATGTGTTTATATATATATTAAATTGTATATAAGCATATTTTTAAATTACCATCATTTAAAAAGAAAATATAGTAATTAATTATTAGATCTAATAAATACGTAAAAATGTACTTGTAGAAATGTATCGTTATATTACATATATAAGTTATTATTATTTTTTAATTAAAGCTAATATTTACTCAGTATATAAATGAAATATTTAGGGAAGTTTAGTTTTGTTAAACATCTATGAATAAAACGGCCGTTTTATTAAAATACTTAAAATATTATATATAATTATTTATGTATATACATACAATGATTTAAAAAAAATTATTTTGTAATCAATATGAAAACGTTATGTTTAACTCTTTGTGTTAGTAGGCTGTAGGCTGTAGGCTGTAGACTTATTTTAAAAAGTTTTAAAAAATTTTCATAAATTGTTGCAGTTAATGAGAGTTTATACTCGTTTTTTCAGCTTTTTTTGTTCATTATTGTACACACTTGGGCTTACAGACTATGTAAATAACGCACGCGCCAACATTGATAGAGAGACAATTGAACTTCTGCAAAGAATGGTTTATGGTGGAATATGTTTTATGCTAAAATATATTGTAAAATAAAAAAGTTATTTAAATAATAATTAACTAACAAAAAGTAAATGTATTAGATTTAGAGAAGAATTAACTCAGATAAGTATCGTTCAAAACATATAAATAAAATCAAAAATTTAAGGAATTAAGCAATAGTCATTAGTTTCGCATATTTTTTTTTTTTTTTTTAAATCAATATAGTGAGTAAAAAAACATATTTTAAATATAAATATTTATATATATATATATAAGCATAATTTCTCAAAAAGCATTTAATTTTTTATACTTAAAAAAAGTTATATAAAAGACATTCATTCAATTTGTAAAGAAACAACAACAACTTACCCAAATTGGTAACATTAATTATAATAAAAATATGTTTAGCTTGTACATCGAACGAAGTAACAAACGTGTTCATCATCATCAGCAAATGGCTTAGTTTTTATCAGATCTGTTTGGTTTTTGTTGATTTGGACTTGGGCCTCCAGGCATGCCAGCTGGTGGTTGTGCTGCACCTGGATAACTTCCTGGAGCAGCATAACCACCATAAGGGGCCTGCTGTCCATAGCCGGGTGCACCCTGTTGTCCAGCTGCAGCTGCTGCGGCATAATATTGTGAATATTGCGCATAATGGCTTGGTGTCATACCTTGTGGATAGCCTGGTTGTGGTTGACCGCCACTTGCACTACCACCAGCCACATGTTGGGGAGTACTGCTAGGATTATTTGCAACAGCATTAGGATTGGCCGCTCCAGGCGCTGCACTACTTTGTCCTGTTTGATTCTGCTGTAATTAATAATTTACTTATATAATCAAAATATTTCATTTAATCTCAATTATATTATTAATAAACAATATCCATACACTTTAAACAACAATTAGTAATGTTAACTTTTCATTTTAGTTACTTTTTAGCCCTGTAGTCATTTCTTTTAAAAAATCTGAACCATTTCAATATATACTGAGATGAAGGGTATTAAAGAAAACTCTACTCAAAATTAAGTCAAAAATTCAAATAGCTTAAGTTATATATTATTAATTTTATAATTATTCTATTATTTGATATTTAATATTCTTTTTACTTAAATAGATTCAAGTTTGCAAAAAAACCAAATTTTCTCAACAATACTTTTTTTTTTGTAAGACAATACCTTATATTTTGTTATAACCCTTCATTTATTCATTTATCGAGATTGGTATCAATTATAACAATTTTTGTGAAAAAATTCTCTTATTACACACCATATTTCTTTAATCGAAAGAAAACGAGTTGACTCACTCTTCTATAATTGAGAAGAAAAAAACCCAGTTGCTTCGCTTTTCAGTAATCGTACTTAAAAGTAATCGTACTTTTTCTATTTTTTCCAACAATGATAATATATTAATTAATACATATAAATACTAATAAACATATTTGTGACAAAAAAAAAAAACGCTAAGAAGGTCAGTTAAGTTTTGACCCAAAATATGCTTGAAATTTTTATTCGCTTAAGCCCTAATTTTATATTATTTAAAGATTTTCAAACCTAACCTTTATTTGTTTTTCAATCGCTTCCGCTTCCTCAACTTTTCCAATGCTTCTATAATACTCTGCCCATTGGGCACTGTAATCTTGCGCTTGTCCAGCTGCAGGTTGCGCTGCACTTGCTGCTTGGACTTGAGGTGCCTGTTGCTGAGGTTGGGGTTGTTGCATACTGGCAGCCATTGGATTTACTGCACCTTTAATTATTTTAGTAGAAACAATATTTTTATATAAAACAATAAAAAATGAAAAATTATTGCTCACCTGTAGCTTGTTTTGCCTTTAACTGCTGTTCAACCATTTCTGCTTCTCGATGCATACCCATTGATCTGATTTTTACAATTTAGAGCAAATTTAAATATATAATTTCAGATAACAGATATATATATATAACAGCTATTCAAAACTTACTTATAATATTCTATCCACTGTGCGGAATAGTCTGCTTGACCAGCGGCTGCTGTTTGAGCCATTGCTCCTGCTGCCATTTGCTGTGCTGGATCCCAATTTTGCTGAGCATAACCACCCCACTGTTGTTGATAAGCTGCATTTGGATCACTTTGCATTGCTGCCGGGTACGCTGCATGTTGATTATAAGGATTAGTTGGTGCATTCCCGCTAATTGGTTTACGTGAAATTATCGGTAATTCCATATTAATTTTTTCTGCAATTAATTGACGCGCTGTTTCCACCTGTTCTGAAGTGCCTTTGCACTTAAAAAGTTTTTCAGCTGGTGGATTGACAGCATTGCGATCCATTTCGCAATATGCACCAGATTGTTGATTAATTAATTTAATTGTTTCCCCTCCGCGCCCAATTACAATCTAAGATATTGTTATTTTTAAAATTGAACATTTTTTTAAAAAATCATATATCTTACGCCACATTTTGCCGCAGGAACCATGAAGGTAATTTCTTCTCTGGCTGGTTGTTGTGCATGATTTACGCCATATCCATAACCATAATTGGAATTTCCATTATCAGCGGTACCATTGCTATTACCGTTTGCACTCCTAGGATTTTGATTACGCTGCTATAAAAATTGGAAATATTATCTGTAATTCAATAATACATAAAATATTTTATACACACCATAACGTTGTCAATTAATCCCTCAATCATACGTTTTGCATCATCAACTTGTTGACGCGTGCCATTGATTACACAACGTCTATCACCAGGCTCATCATTTTTACCTTGTATAAATTGTAACTTGCATCCACATTCGGTTTGAATTTTACGGATCATGTCGCCACCCTTGCCAATAACAACCCCTACAGCAATTTTTGGAACGAAGACTTCACATTGTTCACCGCCTTGTCCAAAACTGTAAGTACCACCAGTACCTCCTGACATACCAGGAGTTTTTGTAGCTTGTGCTTGGGCATCTTTTTGGGCAATCAACTCAAGCACAAGCTGTTTTGCATGTTCAATTTTTTGAGGATCTCCAGAAATTCGTAAAGGTTTCTACATATAAATATAATATAATACAAATGTATTATTATAAATCGTAATTTATGTGTGAGACATTAAAACGAATACTTACTATAATTTCTTGATTAGGTCCATCTTGAATTATAACCATTTTTGCGCCAGTTTTCTCTTGTAACTGCTTAATTGTATCACCGCCCTTTCCAATAACTAAGCCAACTTTTCCACCTGGTATCATAATTTCTTGATAAGGAGGATAACCAGTTGGTCCAGGCGGCGGCATATTCATTGTCAAAACAACTTCTACGTTACCGCCTCCATTCCGATTAGCTAGCTGTTGTATCAATTCCCGGCCTTTAGTAACGGTTTCACGAGAACCCCTCAAGGTAACGATTTGATCTGAAATTAAATATATTGAAGTTATTTCATAAAACTACTATTGTTTACTTACGACTAAATATATTAGTAAAGATAGACATGTTTTCACAGTCTTCACATTAAAATTTTAAATTATGATTTAAACTTATATAAATAAAAATCTCTGCTAATTTGATGGAACTTAGATAATAAAAAGTCAAATAGTATGTTGAATTTTTTGTTACAGACTACTATTCTAAAACACTTACCACTTTCTTGAGATAATTGCACCTTACAACCAGACTCAACTTGAACGTGTGTTATTGTGTCATTGCATCCACGACCCACAAACTGATTAGCTATACTATCCGGAATGCGTATTTGTTCTTCACATGTTGTGCCAGCAGTTGCAGCTAAACGTGCTGCTACAGCTGCGGCTTGGGCAATAGCTTGTGACATATTTGCAGGTCCACCAGAGGAAGCGCCTCCACCACCTCCGCCTACACTGCCACCACCAGAACTCATATTAGAATTACTATTACCATAATCGCTACCAGGGCTTGTAAACCGTTTTGGTTCTGGGCCAGAATCATTGTCATCAAGTGATCTCTTGAAACCTCCTCCGCTGGGTCCTGTCGGTTGATTTGGTTGAATTTTAGCTGCTATCTGTCCACGGTACGGGAAATATTTGCTTTCGAACGTCTTTATATTTAGAATTTATATCTGATTCTTTTACCTGTTTGGCACGCTGTAAAGCAGCCGCAAATGCTTGCGATTGATTAAGCGTCTGTCCCTGCGATCCAAAATCACTCATTTTTATATTTTATTTGTGAATATAAAAAATTTTTGAGGCTATGCACAATTATCGATTTTTTCTTTTTTGTCAATATAGATTATTATTATATCACAAAAACTGTGTTATATGAAGAGAACAGTTTCTTTTTCGATTGTTTTAATTATTAAGTCTATGATTTAAAATAATGATGTATAAAAACCGTCCACAAAAAATAGTTAACACCTCTTCAAAACTACTAATTTTTAGTACACGGCAGCCGACACCAAACGCGAAAGGAATTTACAAATGGCGGTCGCCAGTTTGTCAGTACAAATACTGCTTATTTGGTCGCACTAGTGTTGATACCAGTAGTGTTTTATTCTACTAGGTACACAAAAGTAGTAGTAGAAAATATAAAACATTTTCTGCAAAAGAGTTAATTATAATAAACTGGCATATAACTTGCAAGCAGTATTGCTATAAATTGAAGCTTAATTAATTTCTTTTAAACTGTTTGTACAATAAAAGCAATATAGATTAGTATGTTTCTGTACAAGAATAAACATACACAAATAAAAGTTGTTACAAATATGTTATTAATTTAAATTTATTATTAAAATATGACAATATAATTAAATGCACTGAAATAAATATTCATATGTAGTTATGATTTTTATATTAAAAGTTAAAAAATTATACAATTATTGACATATAATGTAGTACCTCAGAGTGAAAAATACACGCAAAATTGCAAATGATATTTTGTAACACAAAACACTGTTCCACAGAGAATTTTATTTAAAGGTAAATTATGAATGACATACAAAAAAATACGGGAAATTTTTGACTTTACGGCAAATAACCATATATAAACATTTATCGTTAAACGAATATTCAAACAAAATTTTATACAAAAATATTTTGTCATATAAAAGTTAACACATTTTCCGAATGATATACATTAATAATTAATTAAAAATCTTTCGGAGTTCTTTAAAATTTCCCTTACAGCTGTTTATGAATGTACATTTTTTTTAATGTTTGTATCACATAATTGATATCTTCAGTTTGTATTGCTTCGCTGAAAAGATTGCTCTTTGTTCAGTTCAAATAAAAATTTCATAATCAAAGTGTTAAGATGTCCACTGATGTTGTTGGTTTTGTATATGCAGCAACTGTTGCAGCAGGTGGTATAATGGGTTACATGAAAAGAAGTAAGTTTATTTATTTAATTTTTACGCAACCTCATTTGTTTTTTTTATCTATTTCAGAATCTATACCATCATTGGGTGCTGGCTTACTTTTTGGTACCGTGTTGGGTTATGGTGCTTATTTAACTTCACGAGATCCACCACAACCACTTTTGCAATTGGGTACATCTATCGCTTTAGCTGGAATTATGAGTGCTCGTTGGAGGCGCTCTGGCAAACTAATGCCGGCTGGTTTTATTGCCATATTATCGGCTGCAGCGATCGCTAATAATATATACACCTATAATCGCTATTTACCTTTACCTGGCAAATCTTAATTGCCATCAAAAATTAATGGCTCTATGCCTGACTTACTTGCCTTTTTGGTTTTGCACTATACTTAATATGGGTTTATGGACTTAATATTTACAGGATATAATCCTAATTTACTTATTATTTCTTATTATTAATAAAAAACTATTTTTTTATTATTAATTTCGATGTTTTTGTGACTAAATCATATAATAGAATGTAAGAAATTAAAATATTTTTTATTATTAATTATTTGATTAATTGAACTATTGTACCCAAAATGTACTGGTTTAAATGCAGAAAAAAAAATAGTTCATACTCATGATGGTTTTATACTTATAATGTAGCCGGCAGTAAAGTATCTTATTGAAAATATATTTAATGGAAGCCATTTGGCGAGAATGTACTTGACAAATCTTTAAAATGAAATTATGAATCAGGCAGGCGGAATAAATAAAGTAACTACTCAGATACTCGTATATGAATTTAATGAACCATTCTGTCGAATATATAAAGAACTAAATTTCAGCATTTTTTCACTTATATGCGATTTTCGGCACTTAATCTCAGGTATGTGTCTTACAGATATACACATTAGAAAGCGTTTAGATATTTCCTTACATTTTGTTACATCTTCTGTTTATTATTATTCTCCGGTTTGTTTAAGGTTAATTAGGTTCAATTATACCGAATTAAATAAATTAATATTTTAATTTAAAAAAATAATTTTAGACAAAGAATTAGTTTAAGAATATATTGAATAATAACTTAAATAAAATAAATTCCTGATCGGATACTGCAGAAAGAATTCTTCAAAAATATTCTGCATAGTTGCAATAATTTCCTTTACATACTTTGAATTTTTTATGAAATCTAATTTATTTATTTATAGTTCTAAAATTTTTATGACTTTAATGCTTAATATTAAAGACAATGATAGGAAATATCATGGCAAATGTAATAAAAAGTAATGTTTTTCAAACTGTGCTTAATATTAATAACCATCGTTAGGTTTTCAAACTGTGAAGTTATAACTGTCATAGCCGGTTAAATTATTAAAACTTCATAAACAATCAGATTAATGGTGTTTTCGATTGGTAAATCTGAATTCAAAAGAAGATTTATTTTGGATCTGTTAAATTTTGTTCCCCAATCGAACATTTTTGGAGTATTCTAATATTTTTATAGTAGTGTCAGTAAATAAACTAATTGAAATATATATCTTTATCTGCATTTGTAGCCAAATATGCCATTATTTTGATTTCATGCTTTTTTCAAAACGACAGTCAAATACTTAAACAAACAAATTGGGCACTTATGAAAAGAAATCACGCTTTTTTATCTGTCATATAAAATCATATAAAGAAACAGCTGTTATTTTCAGAGTAATCTTGCTACTTTGACAAAATATCTGGAGTATTGAAAATTAATCTCGATTGTTATATAGATTTACCAATCGAAAGTGAAAATTGCAATAAAGACAAATCTCGATTAAAAAAGTAATATATACGAGCCTCAGGTTTAACAATCGAAAAAACCATAACTACAGTTCTGTTGGATCCAAACAAAAACTAAAATAGATTTAGAAGTAAGAACCATGTTAAACAGAATAGAAGACGCAAGTTGCAAAATATTTAATAAACTTCATAGTTTTCGCTAATGTGTCTAAAATGAATATGATAAGCAAATTTTTTGTCTAATGTTTTTCAATATTTGAAATAAATGGCACATCAACTATTCCAGAATAGTAGAAAAGTATGTTTTTCTTTTAGTAAAATCAATGTTGATCACTTAAACGAAATTAAATTTGACGTTTAAGCCTACTATAAACGGCCAGTTTGCATAATCATGCATTTTAAAATGACCAGTGAAATATATTCGTATGCTTACATACAGACTGTGCTGTAAATGTTTGACAAAATATTAATATGTTTTGATTTTTCTGCATATAACTTTTAATCGATAAATAAAAGACTACTGTGAGTTTATGTATTTGATTGCGACTAACGATAACACATTATTTCACCACAAACGCTATGAAATAAATTAAATTTAAAATAATTTGTAAATAATAAAAGAAATTATTTCAAAAAGAAGTTATGCTGGCAGCAGCAATTGCATATTTTAAGTTAGATTTAGTTATGCGCTCAGTTCAAAGAACATACAAAAATGAATGCATGAGCATTTGATTAATTTGAGTTTTGCATTATCAAATATTTTGGTAATATATTGTTTGTAGTGCCATTGAAATAATTTCTTCATATTTTAAGCACTATTTGTTTATTATATTGAATAAAATTGAGCAAATTGAACACATGTTTTTTATGATGGTAATAAAATTAAAATTTATTTTAAGAAAGCAATACCAACTTGCATCTATATGCTGTGTAAACTCTGGTTATTTTAAATTTTATAAATAGTTGGCAACGTGTTTCATTTTTTTTTTTCAAATGAGCAATGTCATTGTTGTTTGTGTGAGTGAAAGTTAAGCAAAGTTGTTTGGCGTAGAGCAGGAAACAAAGTGTGCTAAAATTTTCCGATATTTAGGAAAGAAAGGTAAATAAAAAACTATTTCAACATCTTATTTAAGTAAATATAATAGAACTGTAAGTATATTTACATTTTCTTATAATATGTCTTATTTGCAATCAGAATAAAATATCCCAAAATACAAGCTAAAAATTTCCTTCGTGTAGTTTACGAACTGTCAATTTTGCTATCTTGTTTTGTCGGCAAAAATCTGTTAAACCTTATTTCGGGCACGTTAATAAATAAAAGAATTATTTGAATAAGTGCATAATGGCTATTGATTTAATTGGTTACTTTTATGCTGCAATTGTTGCTGTTGGTGGGGTAATAGGGTACGTGTCAGCAGGTTGGTAGTTTAAACGAATTTCTTTTGCTATGGCTACAGATCTCATTTTTAGATTCTATACCTTCTCTAGCGGCCGGATTAACATTTGGTAGTCTTTTAGCATTGGGCGCTTATTTTAATTCAAAATTACTACCGAGGCCTGTTCTACAATTAATTGTAGCCGCAGTTTTAGCAGGTGTTATGGGCGCACGTTGGTACCGCACAGGGAAGTTAATGCCGCCCGGCATGATTTGCTTAATTTCGAGCATTATGATAGTACGGAATGTGGTGACATATAAACGTTATTTGCCGATAATAGGAGGCGATGCCCGTAAATGAATGCTCTATATATTGCTTTTTAAAAGCCATTCGAAATATTTATGCATGTTCTTATAGTTTATCTTGCTCAGAAAATTTTGGTGGCGATGAAAATTGTATTACTTATTACGTACGTGTTCAGAAAATCTAATATCAAATGGTGTCGGCTTTATTATTAAAACTTTTGATTTTTTATATTATCTTCTAAGAGTAACTCAATACTCAATTTTGTAATAAAATGTTAAAAACTACGATCAATTTTGTTATTGAACACTTAGTTCGATTTTATATTGTAGATATTTGTGACAGAGCAGTAGAAATGCTAGATGAGTCATTTTCGCTAGATTGTTCGTAGATTCTTTGAGATATGTGAGTTTATATAAACATGCAATTCTATATTGGGTAGGCTCATCAAATACATTTAATCTGTATGTTATTTAAATATTTTGTTATTGCCTCTTTGAAACATTACAAAATAAATATGATAAATTTATATCATTTAATTAAAGTCTGAATTTTTTGTAAAATTCTTATTGGAAATTCTGGAATTAATGTACCTTTGCTTTGGGTGTTTCTACTGTGTTACATTTTAACTTATTTAGGAATTAGAATACAATATCAATAGCTTGTCGATGAAATATGTGAGTTCCGTCCAATTGAAACCAAAAAAGGTGATATTACAGAAGATGATAATACGTGCAACTAAAATTCCTTTTCTGTTAGATTTGTTATAGATAAATTAATTATTGCTGAATGTTTTAAAAAAATAATTGTTATGGAGTATGAAAACATTTATGTTATTTGTGGTAAATGTACTGTGTTTTAATGAACTGTCAGGATGTACATCCCTTCAACTTGTATCTTTCTATAAGTAAAATAGTCGACAAAATTATCCATAAAGTTCAAAAAGGTTGCAAGGAACATGTAACTGGTTATAAAACGAAGATTGGTTGATGTTTGGATGCGTCATGAAATGAATAGAAAGAAAATTATTGACTACTTGTGAATCGCTGTTGAAACAGATTAAGATCAATTACTATTTGAAGTGTATGGTTACAGAAGATAAAAACTAAATATAAAAGTATACAGTTGAAAAATGAATGACGATTTATAAACTGCTAAAAATGGAATTTTTGATTAAAATATGCATATTATCGATTAAAAGTTGTTAACGCCGAATAAACAGTTTGATTTGAGTCCCTTCGAAATCTCTTAAATGCGTTTAACTGATATTAAACTGATATTAAAAATAGAAGCCGAGGTTGATAAAGAGAACAAATGTTTCGCTTTAACATGACGACGCTAAGCCACATATTTCTGTGCTGATCTTCCATAGATCAAAACACACCGGTTTCGATTTTTTAAAGTATTCACCTACCATTCAATCAAAGATTATAACTTCTTCTGATATCTAATTGTGGAATTTTAGTGGACAAAGGCAAAAGTAATAAAAAAATCAGATATTTTGTAATTAAATATTCGCTTAAGTTATCGTATAAATGCGTATCGTAAAACCTTATGCCGAATCATGTGAGGGATAAATTGCTTTATTCGCCTAAAATTTACTATTCTAATGATGTGAACTTATAGCTGATAGAAAAATCTGCGGCGTAATGTACAAATGGAGACCTAAAGACTGCAATATCAGATGTTTTATATATTATTCTGCACATTCATTTTATTGACCAACTGGACAAACGATGTACCATTTTATCTGTGTAATTACCATAAGTATAGCCAATGTAAGTGTTACTTAATAGGGCAGTTTACATTGCTTGACGAATTTCTCAATTTCTTCAATAACCAACCATTGTTCATCAAAACTACAAAACACTATCGACGAATATGGAAAACAGTAGTGATTGTTAACACGATTAACCGGTACATGCAATGGCAACGTTGTCCACCAAACATTACTTGAGCATAAATCATGACCCGTTGCTATAAAAATTCTGCATATGAGTTGAAATTGAATAACCAAGTATACGAGGGTCACTAGTTATATTTCGAGCCTTAGCATCATTTTTTTTGTCAGGTGTCATCTGACTTTTCCATGCGTAGGTTTGAAATTGTTAACCTGAGTGTTATTATTTGTGTTATTTACAGTGATTTGTAAATTGATTGTTCACGAAAAAATGGAATTAACACGAGAAAATTTTTGTGCGATGGTTTGTTACGGCTTTCAACGTGGATTACCAAGACATGAGATCAACTTACTTCCACATTTGGCGATGAAGCGCTTGAAGCACTGCGAAAGAAATGGTCGCACTTTTACCATTACAGGAATGTAAAACGGTCAATTTCGAATTGTATACAACCATTTGTTTACCGGAAGACTTCAGTGAATTACTTAACTAATATATCATTCTGATCTATTACAGTTCTGATTTGGCACCCAATGACAACAATTGACTGTAATAGATTACTATCAGCTGAAGTTATTCTAGTATAACGACGACTGATATTTTTAATAGGAGTCTTACTGGAATTATATGGAATCACAATGTAATATATCGATAAAATTTCTCGCACAGCATAAATCACAAAAAGTAAGGTTTTAGAAGCATCCAGAGTTATACCTTAGAGTCAATCAAGTGCCGCTTATCCCTCCCAACTTGGCAACTCATAATACATATATGTGATTTGATATTTTTGACATTTGTTGTCTGATGAATTAGAGTTCTTATATGTCTTACAAATAGTCAAAAAAAAGTTTGTAGTTTTGTATGTTATAACGCATAATAAATGCAAAATACTGCAGTGAGTGGTAGCCACAATAATTGAGCTGACTTATCCTTCGTTATAATGGAATATCAAACGAATTCTCTGACAATCAAAAAAACAAAATTTTGATTTATTTTGTGCAGGTCTTAAGATTGTTGGTTTCCGCAATTTTTGTAGAAAAAAATCTAAGAGAATTTCAGTTGATATATATACTTTTCTTTTAATATTTGTATATTTACAAAAATCAGAATTCAAAAGACTTAATTTCGAATGAATTTTAATTAATTACAACAAATTTAATTAATTTTCTAAAGATCTTTATATGTTTATTTTAATTACAATCAATTTTTTTCACAATTATTTTATGTTTTAATTATATTTAAAATAAAAATAAATTTATTTTATAATTACAGTTTTTATTTATTAAAATTAATTTAAGGCTAAAAGTAAAATAAGTCGTGTAAAACAAACTCATTTCGAGTAAATATTAACAAAAAAAAAATAAAATTAAAAATAAAAAATAAAATAAAAATTAAATTAATTTAAACACTAAAACGAAATCAATAAAATTAATGCTAACTAAAGTAAATATCTGAAATTTTAACACAATTTTAATAATTTTCAAAATAGTTATGAAATTCTTTTTGTTTTTAAATAATGGCAAATTAACATTTCCTTCGAACTGCGGTTATGATTTGATTTGATTTGATTTGATTTGATGCTGATGTGAGGACGTTGAGATTATTGCAGAATATTAAATTTCGGTGCCCAATGAGAGTGAGATGCCTTATTGGAGACCGTTTCATATTCATTTGTTCCTGAAGTGTGTGCTTGATTTGAATGTATTTTGTGCTATGAAATATTTAGGTACCTTGAAACAGTCTAAAACGGAAACGCCTTGAAATTAACCACTGTTGGGAGAAAATTTAAGAGAATAAACAAAAAATTACTAAAAACAATTAATTTTAATTTTGGTATTGTTAATAAGATGTTTAATGCAAAGGATGCAATATTAAATATAAAAACCAAAATAAAAATAAAAAGAAATTATAAAATAATTGAAATGGTTAAGATGACGCCACAATTTATTTTCTTAATTGGTAATGTTTTTGCCGCCACTCATGCAAAAATTTGTTTGATTTTCGTATTAGATTTTCAGATTTCAGTTGATATTTTTGATATGTTAAAAATGTTACTATCAGGAACCATGAGTTCCTTCTTCCTTTTATTTATTCTATTTAGTTTTTATGCCAAATCCATTGTTACGCGTTTTGTAGCATGTTTCATTGTCAATAGTAGCCAAACGCCATTTTCGAAATTAGAATTCGAATATTAAGATTTAAATGTAAAGCTTTTCGAAGTTTGTATGAATTTTGTTCGAAAAGTTGCACCAAATCCTGCTTAAGATTATTTTTTTTATGATTTTGTATATTTGTTATGATTTAGAATGTTGCTTTTGTCGCTATTGTTGTCCATTTTTGTATGATTTTTTTTTTTAATGCAATGTAGGTATGTAAGTTGGTGCTCTTGGTGTTTGCTTGTGCATTTGGGTGTGTGGTATATATGCAGATTTGATGCATTTTGGTCCATAACTCTTTTATGGATATTTTTATGTTTAAAACAGAATTTAGGCTTTAAATGCTTTATATGCGATCATATGTATATGTAAGAAGAAATGAAAAAATTCATGCAAACTAAGAATAAATAAGAAATATGTTAAACTATAAATCGAAATTATATTAACAGTACTTAGAAGTGCAATAGATAGAAAGTAGGAAAGAGATAGACATAGACATAGACATAGCAGTAAAGTATAATAATGACCGCTGCAAATGATAGAAATGGCAATGTGGTTAGTGGCAGTGATTGAAATGTGAAGAAATTTGATGAAAAATGCAGCAATTTAAATATTACAGTCCTTTCTAGTTTTTATTAAATGTCTGAGTATTAATTTTAAAATTTGTTTTTTCTACAGACTATTCTGTGTTTCTCTGTTATTCTGATCTTTTTTTTGAAAGAAATGTGTTTTTTGTTTCGTTAGGTTCAGTTCTTGTACAAAATGTTTATTGATCGTAAGTTTAGGCTACTCTACTGAGAGCCTAAAACTACTAAAAGAAATTTGTTAAAATATTTAATTACTCAAAATACTTTTGTATTTTGATTTTGTACTACATGAATTTCTTTTACGTCTAAAAGATCCAGATGAGTTCAAATTAAAAATACTGCTAAGTCCTCGTAGTTCCTTTTTTTTTTTTTTTTAATTTCAAAATTTTTGTCATATATTAAATTCAGTAGAAAAGTCTACTATCTTAAAGTCACTATTATTTTAAGTATTATAATCGAAAATATGAAAAGCAAATAAATGGAAAAATTTCATGAAATATAGGCTTTATTATGAAAATAGTATGTAAACCAGACTTTAAAAATTTCCTTCCAATATTTATTTACTAAATTTTTTATTCATATGTATTTTGTATTGAATGTTTTTTGTTTTTTTTTAATTGGTAATTTAAAATGCCACCATTGCCATGCAATCAGATATATACTTTACGTTTCGGCGTTTCATTTTGATTCTTTAATATGCCAATATTGGTTACTAAGCCAATTGCTGCTGCCAATTGATATATGTTAAGTTGCCTTTTAATAATTATTGCATAATTTTATTTTATAATTAAAATGGTAGTTAATTTTGCTGAATTTATTTTTAATAATCTATGTACGGTCTTTTTTGTGTACTTTGTTAGAAAGCTTCTCTAGCGAATCGCATACTGTTTTACCAAATGTTACTATTTTTGCCAAGCATTTACTACTATATTTTTCTACTACTAATATGCCTTTTTGAATTAATTCGAATTAATTGCATTGAAATATTCAAGTATGCTTACCGCATGAAATTGCTAATAGAAATTGATTGCTTTATTTAACAAATATGGCTAATTGAGCTGAGCGCCATTTTGAATTGTTTTAACAATTAACGTAGTAGATTGCTCATGGTTGCTTTCCTTATAGTAGTAGTTAATGGTTTGATTTATTATTTGATTAAGAATTCCTTAAAGTTCTATCTATTTGTTATATTATTTATATATTTTGTATCTTTTAATGAAAATTATTGTTTTCAGATTTCCTTATATTTAATACAACAAAATTGAGGATTTTTTTCATACGTTACAATTAAAGGTTTTCTTTTTTTGTATTTTGACTGCTTTTTAATTTTGTTCATTTGATTTGTGTGCGTAATTGTTGTTTTTGTCTACGTATGAGTTTTTGTGTTTTGATTTGTTGTTTTTGTGGTTGTGATGATAATAATGTTGTTGTTGTTGCTAATGATGATGATGATGATGATAGTTGTTGTTGTTGCTGTAGTTGCGCATTCAATGCAGTAGTTGCTGGCAAATTATTTGTGTCATCGCCAATATAATTTGTCACAAAAGCAGGCTCTTGTGTTGTTGTAATGAGTTCGTCTGCATTTTTATGTTGTTCAATATGTTTTTGCTCTTGTTGGAGCTGTTGTCTATCTTTTTTACTACTATTATGAATATTGCTATTGCTATTGCTATTGCTAATGCTACTACTACTATTTCTACTACTATTTTTTACATGATTATTCAGCGTACGTTTTAAGAATTGTGTGGCAAAGTTATCGGCTTCCTTAAGTGCCTGCTGCTGTTGTGACGCTGTTGTTGAAGTTATTGTAGTCGATACCGATACGGTAGGTGGAAGTGCTGAGGGGGGTGCGGGCGCAGCTGCTGCTTGCTGCGCTTGTAGGGCTTGCAATTTTTTAAAATATGCATCTAAAAAGGAATGACTACGTTGGGCAGCGCGCCCACCATATAAATTGCTACGAGTAACTGTTGGTAAAGCGCCAGCAGTTGTCGTAGTTATTGCTGGTGTTGGTGGCGTGTATTGTTGCAACAATTTAAGTGGTTGCTGTTGTTTAGCTGTTGTAGTTGTTGAAATTTGTGCATCAAACTTACGTTTTTGCTTGACGATTGCCTCATTACTCGCCTCATTCTCGTCGTCGTCATAGTTGCTGATATTGGGAACATTACTGCCTTCGGCATTTTCGTTGCTAGGGTTGCCATTGTTGTTAATGTTGGTCGTTTCACTATAATTTGAATTGATCGAATTTTTTGTTGATTCTTGATTTTGAACTTTAGTAGTTTTTGTGGTAGGAACTGTATTGTTCTGTTTGTGTGGTGGTTGTGGTTCTGATTGTGTTTGTTTTTGTAATTTAGTAACATTACGATTTGAATAGTTGCTATTACTTTTTTGCAACAAATTCAAATAGTAATGAAATTGTTTTCGAAATTCTGTTGTGTAGAACTTAAAGAAATTTTGTGGTGAATTGTGTGTTTGTATTTGTGTCGTCGGTATAGGTGTAGTAGTGGTTGTAGTTGTTGTTGTAGTTGTAAATGGTATATGTGTTTGTATATTTTGTCTTTCAACAATTTCCTGTTTGTTTTGTATTATTTCGTTGCTGTCTGTGCATTTCTGTTCTCTACAGTTGCAATTAACAGAACAACTGTTACTTACAGTAACAGTTTTGTTAACATTTTTACTTCCAGTACTACTACTGACACTACTTGTCGTACTAGTCTTCACAACAACACCTCCATACAATTGAAGCCTTTGCATGAGTTCTTGCTCCGCAATAGTGCTATATGGTTTTACTGTTGGTTTTGTCGTAGTTATCGGAGTCGTTCCGTTTGGTCGCAGCAATTGGGACCATTCCTTATTTTCTAAAATTCGTGTCAAATATTCAAAAGTGTCAAATTTAGTTTGTATTTGTTTGGGTGTTGTCTGTATTGGATCTTCGGTTGTGTGTGTAGTGTGAATAGTTTTGTTTTGCTCATCTTTAAGTTCTAATAATGTTTCCTCAACGGAGTTATCAAGTTTATGTGGTTTTTGTACTTCGTTTTCTTCCTCACTACTCTTGTTATCATTTTCGATATCATCTTCTTCCTCGCCAGCGTTACTTTCATCCTCTTCGTCGTCATCATCTTCTTCACTACTGATGTTGTCATTATTTTCAGCGGAATTTGCTGCATTGTTGTTTCTGTACGGGTATGCGTGTGTAAATTTGTGTAAATATTGTATATATGTATTATTTATTAATTTTGGTGTAATTTTTATGTGTAATTCAAATTCAAATTCAACTCGTGTACTACTAAGTGTGTAATTGTGTTATATTAAAAAAATATTTATATATAAACAATTTTTTCTAAAGTATGTAGAATATACTTACAATTGAAAGTATTTGGGTTTTTTTTTGGATCTACTGGTTTATCAGTGAAGTTACATATATTAATACTTACTTGTATACTACACGGTAGGGAGGACCATAGTTTATAGCATTTGTAGGCAAGGGTGCACATCGTCCATCCAAACAATGCTAAAAATGTAAAAAAATTATTTTAGGATCGATTTTATATATCGATTTTCCATATACATTTCTCTAGAAGTATTAATAATAACTTTACTTAAAGTAAAGAAAGCAAAACTTATACTTTCCGACAAATCTAAAATATGTCATATAGTTTATAAGAAGGTTTCTACTTTCTCGCTTATAAAAGTGACTTTATTCAGATGAATATTTTATTGTTTAAATTGAAAAAAAAGAATAAAAACACCAAATAATTTTCATTAGGGATACTGAAAAATATCACTTAGTAAATCACCAATAACTATTAATTTGAAAATATTATTTTAATCAAATGCTTACCAATCCATTTCCACACGATGAGCCCTCTGCAGCAGGTCTATACGCTACACAGTAGCCAGTCTGTGCATCAAAGCAGAAAAGTTGTGCACACACACGTTCATCCTTAAAGCATGCATACGTGCCACGATCTCGCCTACACTGTGCATCCAGTGAAAGTAAAGTGCCTGGCAGTGAACGACCTAATGCACCATCTTCATGTGGAGCATTATGCAAGCAGGTGGCAGTATCACCACTGTTGAAAAAAAAAAAATTAAAAGATAAAATAAAATTTGAATAATTAAATCATTTCAAATACACATACTTAAGGAAATGATGAAAACTTTGTACTGTACATGGTGACCATCTGAAACCACGTTCTGTGTGTCTCAAATCTGACATAATGTAGCCATCCTCCCAGCGGCATCGCTGTGCGCCAGGTCCGCCAAGGTAGCTTGGTGGTGGTGAACCGTCATGTACGGCGCCAAGTCTAAAAAATGTGTTAATCAATTATTATTGTGTCATGCAATAAATACACGAATTGGTAACAATTTTGGTACAAACAGCGGAAGTGGAAACCTGTTTGCTTTCCGTTTGCTGTAGTTTGACTCTGGCGCTGATCATATAAAAATTAAATGGATTTTATTTTTAATACTTACAAATGACCAACTTCATGAGCAGCCACAATTATACCGCTGAAACCGCCGGTGTCCTCAATGATGGCAACGCTGTTGACTTTTTCCAAACGCTTGTTGACAACGCAAGCTCCACCGACATATGCAAAACCTTCAATTTAACAGCATTCACGAGTAATGCATAAATGTGGTTTATGTGAGAAAAAAATGTAAACAAATTTAGTTAATTCAAATTTCTTAGTAGGAAGTTTATAATAAAATATTATTTCTTTAATACCAGCTATTAAAATATACACATATTTTATGTTATTTTTTATATAACTGGTAATAAATTGTGCCTCATGAATTTGATGTGATGTGATGTGATGTGATTTGGTGCAGAAAACTATGTATTAACATTCGAAAGAGTGTTTGGTGAATTAATGACGTGGTGAGTTTGTATGTGTATATGCGCTTATAAGTGTTATAAGTGCGTGGTGAGTTGTTTCTGCTGTGAATTGTTATAAAGCATAATTTTCTTTTGAAATATTTGTCAAGATTTTAAATTTATTTAAATATGTTTATCTTTAGTTAAGCATTTAGTATTATTAACAAAGGAATTGCCTTATTACCTTTTTTCATATTCCTTATAAAGCAGTATATAAATATAGTAAAAGAAGAAAGTTTAAAAAAATTATTAATAGCCCGCACCAATATTATGAATTTAAATTTTTATAGAATATATTTTAATTTTATTTAAGTATATACATAGCTAAAGTTACTATAGTCGTTGAACTATAAATATCACTTAAAATATTGTTCAGATATAGCTTTAAAAGGTAAATATATAGTACTTTATATTATCTGAATAAATATTAAATAAGGAAACCTATAAATATGAGTAAGGAAATATTTCAACTCTAACTTAATTTATTAAGATCAGTATGAGAATGAAAATAATAAGTCGTTGTAATTATTATTTTGAGTCTGAAATGTATTACTTAAAAATTAAAGATTATTATAATTTAAAAACATCAAACATTCTTTTACATATAAGTTATTTAAAACTTTATGTAAATTAATTTGGTATCTTTTATTTTAATATTGAATATACAATTTTAAAGTAACTGTAATTTAATGACTTGATTTTGGTACAGTGATTTCGTATTTTATAAAAATTTTGTTTTTCTTGCAAATTAAAGAACAATTAAAGAACTTTAACGGAATTGAGTCTGAAAGTTCTAGTACATCATAGTTAAGTGCTTGACCTGCTCAGCATTTGGTATCTTAATCGGAACAAGTGCTTTGTTTTAGCATTAAATGGAGCAATAGTGTTGCCATTACAAAAATTTAATAAAATAGTGAGTATATTTTTAATGTTAAATGAAGTTAAGGATTTTAAGTTATGACGTGATTTTATAAATTAATGCATCGAAAGAATTTAAATTATTGTATTATGTATATATACAGAAAGTCAATTTTATATAAATTAAATATTAATATATATATATATATATATGCATATACTTATTCTTACATAAAAAACGTAAACATGCCTAAGAGAAATAAGAAATGAGAAAGTATAGAAGTTTTTACAATTTACATACAAGTTCAGAAAATTAACAAATTTCGTATTAACACAATTATTACAGAATTACATTCCACAAAGTTGTTGTTTTTTTTACAAAAGAACATTGCAATTTTTTTTTTATTTTGCTGTACAAAGAAACGTGCATAGCAGAATTAGATTCATAATTAATTTTATTTGATGCAATTATATTTGGATTTAATGAATTTTTTTTTTGTTTTTCAGATCTTCCGGAAAAATTACCTGCTGTGCCACGATTACATTCGCCATACGCTGACATACGTCTGCACATATCAAGTCTGTGGATAAATTGAACCAAGGTAGGCATATAATAATTTAATATATTTACTTTTAATTGCCATATTGTGTTTAATTTTTAATTTATAAATGGTAAAGAAAGAAAATATAGCTAGAAAGAAATATCAGACGACAGATAGAATAATATGTTTGAAACACTTTGGATTTTTTTAAACCATTTGAAAGATTTGACATTTGAAAGATTTGTTGTTGCTTCAAAACTTAATAAAGCAATTCATTTGTGCTAATTTAATTAATTTTAGTTTTAGTACGTTTGAGTAGAGTTTGAAATGTAATATTTTAAGATTTCTATATTTAGGTATTTAGGTAAATTATATCGAATTAATATATGCGTGAACGGACCAGAATGTGAGTAAGACATTTTCGAGTATATTATTTATTTAATTTATTTTAACCTTAAAAGCTCTAAAAAAAAATATTATGAACTTTGATTTGAAAACCTGAACAAATTTTAAAAATAATACAGATAAATCAGTATAATATTTGAAACTATAAACCACCTATTTTATTTTGCTTTGAATGCATACTTATTTCTATATTATTTTCTATATTAACTATTAGAATTTAAACAAATATATAATTTGTTAAATAAGTAATAACAACTGAAGTGAATGAAGTCTATTTGGGAATATACGTATATGGTGTTTATTATATATAAATTATCATAAACGCAGAACAGTTTTTGCAGTCGAATCATAATACTAGATTTATTACAAATGAAACGTAGGACTGTTTGAATTTGATGATTCAAAATACTTAAATTGTCTTCTATATCGTTTGCATGTAGAATAAATCGGTTTGTGTATAGAAACATACTTTAATAAGAAAAATTATGTATTAAAGAAAGAATACTAAATCGAAATGATCAGGTTTAACGCAGATTTTTCTAAATGAGAAATAAAGTCTGTTTAAATTAATATATGTGAAAACCAGTTAGAACATACTATAAGTCTTTTATTTTTTACTAATAGTAATAACCCTTTCTTCTAAAATAAAATTAACAGAAACGCCGTTTTTTTATTCGCATACACACTATAATTTATTAAACAGTGTATAATTTATATAAAAATAGTTTTAAATAATTATTTCTAATTTATGAATTCTTAGTTCGTCAACTTTGTCTATTCTTTCAATAAATAATCGGCATTCTTTTGAATTATTTATTTTTTAATTGAAAATTAATTCGATATTTGTTTTAATAATTTTTTTCAATAATTAAAACATTTTAATTTAAATTCTTTTTAAATATATGTACTTGCTTTGTTTTAAATAACTAAAAGAATAATTAAGTGGACTTAATTTTTACTTTCAATTTGTAGTTTCGTTTGTTTATTGCTGTTATAGTTATTTATTAATACATAGTACATAAAACTTTTCAATAATATGTAGAAATAAGTGATTAATTTTTCAATTAATAATTTTTGCTCTATTTCTTTTAAAGCCGATTTGCTGTCAAACTTTTCAAGATGTTGATTAAGGTGAAAACACTTACTGGTAAAGAAATTGAAATTGACATTGAACCCACAGACAAAGTTGACCGTATTAAGGAGCGTGTTGAGGAGAAGGAGGGAATACCACCGCAACAGCAACGTTTAATTTTCTCTGGAAAACAAATGAACGATGATAAAACGGCTGCTGATTATAAAGTACAAGGCGGTTCAGTGTTACATTTGGTTCTAGCACTTCGCGGTGGTCAATGTAAAATGGTTTTTCAAATTTGAATCGTTTTTCTATTCACACTACTATTTTTTCTACAAACAAAATATTTATAGAGATGTAAACTCAAATAAAATAATTTAACATAAATTGTTAATAAAAAATTTCATTTAATAAATATACATAAAAAGTTATGAAATAACTAACTTAATTCTTTATCGTTTAATTAAGGAGTTCCATCTATAGTTTATTATTAGCATGGACTACGATATATGAGATCCATTGTGATCTACAATATTTATAGATAGTACATATAATGTATGTATAATTTCAGGTTCTATTATATTAGTATTTTTATATTTATTCCTTTTTTAAAGGTTATTAATATAATATGATTATATTAAATTAAAAATTCGTCTACTAAACCCAGAAGCATTAATTTCTTTAAGCTTTTAAATTGTCACCAACTAGCAATAACCTTGTAATTTAAGTAGTTTTATGACAAATTACAAATAATTATAATTCTCATTTAATTTATTTATAAAAACAATCATACCCAATTAAAAAACATTTTCGATTTTAAAAAACTTATAATAATTATTTGAAAGCAAGTGTGTGTATGAACTCAGCAACTATTTTATTAAACCATTTTATTTATTTTATTTAACTAATTAATATTACCTATATTTTAATAAACATATTTTGTTTTGTATTTTTTGAAGTACAATATTACATTGTGCATAACATGTATGAGTGTGTTTGTGTATTACCAGTGTTTTGTTTTTAATTAAACCCAATATATAAAAAAAACTGTTTTATGTATTGATGTGTGCCTTTGTATATATAAAGTAAATAATACATTATATAGCGAAAATAAAATTTTTACCCGCTGTGCCTTTTGTGCAACGACCGCCTTTACGCCTTCGACACATATCGTATCTGTTTATATATGCATTTTATAATATATCGAAATAATTTTTATATATATTAAAAGTGAAAGAGAAGTTATAGATATGTTCGGAAATGTTTTATAGTAATTATAAAGTAAAATTAGAAGTATTATACATAATTCAAGAGCGTAACACAGTAAATCTCTTATTAGATTTATAAATATGTAGTTAAAATACACTGCAAATAAAGCTATTCTATAATTATTAAAAATATTTTATGGAAAAAAGCTACAATTGTAAAAGGGGATAATTTCTAGTTAAGAAGTTTTAAGTTTTGCTTTTGGTTATAATCTTATTTACCCATATGTTATATTTTATACTTTATTTTTCTTAGAAAATATTTAATTTTCTTGGATAAGCAAAATCATAAACAAATAAAGCTGTCATTATAAGTCCTTATTATCTGACGATAATATTTGATCTCTTTTTCTTACATCTTAAATAGTTAGAAGAGATCCCATTGAAGAATAGGTATATTTATTAAAAATTTAGAATGTTTTAGAGTTTTTGAATTTAGATGACTGCATAATGGGACAACATGTTTAATGATTCCTAGGATCGTCGCAATAACCTAATTCAATCTAATTTATTAAAGTAACAGATTATCAATTTAGATTTCCTAAAAAAAAACAGTCAAAAATATTGGCTGAGGAAATCGTTTTGCAAAAAATATCTCACGAGACCCGATATAATCGCTATATGAAGCGGTTTTGAAAATTAGGTTTCTAAAATAACTCTAAGGTATCATCAAATGCTTCAACTCTGGAAAGGTATTAACATCATCAAAAATGTTGTGGCGAAGGAAGGTATAGATAAACAAGAAATGGTTATAATATAAATAAATTCATTTAAAATATATAGGTTGTATTTTTCACTTTGAAAATATTTTTACTATTCTCTGCTATATCGTAAGAGGAATAAAATAATTATAACAACTGCAGTACATATATCTACCATATTATTAATTGATAACTAATGAACAAGAAATACATCATTCAATTTAAAATTTAAGAGCTAAATTAAACTTAAGAGATTTTTGCAGTGTATTTGTTAAAATAATAAATTCATTTGTTTAAATTAAATTATTTGTGTATAATAAATATGAAAAACAATATTTAAACTAATAACTTACTTTGTTATTGCCACAGCAATATCGTAAACTGGTAAACGTCTCTCACGGAACAAATATTTACCCATATCCGTTAAGGCTGCTGCTGAATCAATAGCATCACGTCCAACACGATTCCTTTCCAGATATGGTGTAGCATCTCTGCCCTATAAACAAAAAAATAAAATAAAATTATTAACGCAATTTTCATGCAAGAAAATATTTTTTGCAGTGTAAAAATATCACGTATCACGTAAATACGTAATGCACTTGCATTCAATTTGTTGGTTGATATTTCATGAAAAGTGTAATATGTTCAATAATAAAATACATTTCAAACATTATATTTCACGATTTACTGGTAAATAAAATAAGATGTTGGCCTATGAAGATGATGTTCATGTTACCAATTAATTTCGTTGACATTTGAAATAGAAAGGAATTTTATGAGGGCTTGCTTATCACGTTTTATTTTTTCAAGTGGTGATTTGTGTAATTACCGTTCGATATTATAAATAAATCACATCGTTAAGTTTTTAAATGGTAATAAATGCAATTAAGAAATAATTTAAAAATTTTAAAAACTGCAATATTTAATATTAATGTAGAAACAGTAGAAGCATTATTTTTAAAGTACTTGCTATGACTGTTTGATTTTAAACAATTTTGATTGTAATTATAGATTTAATACAACTGATATTATTATGACGTATACAATTGTTTATCTTTTTTTTTTGTGATGATAAAATTTAGCGATTTTACATATTTATTTTAGCAGTTCACATTGCTGAATAAAATTGTCATATATTCTTAAAATTAATCGAAATTTTTTAATGTTTAAAGAACATTAAATTTATATTTGTTATTGAAATATAAATTTTCGTACATAGATTCTCTTTTTATGTATTAGGGAAAGCTAAAGATATTGAATGAATTCAATTTTTTTTTTTTGATAAAGAGGTTTCTCAAAAAGTAGTGAACTACAACAACAAAACTTAATTTTATATTATTTTAAATAATTGAATTTTTGACTGATCATACAGCTGTTTCGAGTATTACCAAATACCCTTCATCAGTGGTCTTGGAAATAATTCTTGTATTAATTAATTATTCGTATCTAATTTTTTGAGACCGCAAGTACCAGGAATCGATCTCGTGTCCTGCCAAATTTGAAGCTTTTTTTGACAAAAAAAAATATATATATTTTATCTTGTTTTGAGTAAATATTTTGTCCTTTAATTATGATATCGTTTGTTATATTATAATAACAAATATGTATTTCATCTTGTTTTGAGTGAACATTTTGTCCTTCAATTATGATATCGTTTGTTATGTTATAATAGCTTATACCTCTATAATTTGAACTAACAGCATTATGGACAAGCGTAGGATATAAATTTACAATCTCTTTATAGAAATTCACTAAACTGTTTGTTAGTGGACTTCTACAATCCGTCATTTAATAGGTTAAATGGTATTTATTATGATTAGAATCGTGTTAACCTCAATAAAATTGTTTTATTTTTGATATTTATGATTTAAGATATTATTTCTTAAGATATTACTATTTCAGTTATTATTATAATTACAATAACAATTATTTTTTTATATGAAAACGTCCTAGTTATACAGAAACGATTCTTGAAAAATAAGTAAAATTTTCATTATATTAAAGTTTGATTTTTTTATATTTTGTTTTTTGTTTTTTACTATTTACATTTATTTATTTAGTACAAAATAAATTTATTTCAATTGCATAATAATCACATTTTAATTATATCTGAATAAAGTATTTACTTTTATTTCTTAAGTATAAAAGTGAAATAAATGCTTTGTACATGCAGAGAATATATAATGCGTTGAACTGGGACTTACCACAAGTCCGCCTAAGCGGTTTACTGAAAGGTCTACAGTTTGAGAAATTAAATTAGCATTACTAGTTTTTCTAGCAGTGCATAATTGATATTCTAATTTTTATTTTATTTATTTACGTTTAATTTTTTGTAACAATTTAGAATTAAACAAGTGCTGTTTCTTTACAAAAGACCAGATAGGCCTGCTAAGATTTACGGGTTTTATTACTCTTACTCCGGCTAAAGTTGTATTATCTATGCGATAGATATTAGCACAGTTAAGTAGCACAGTTAGTGTAGTGTATTTTAATTGACATTTTAATTATTTTTGCTAATTTGTTACACCTTTGCGAATTATTCTATAAATAATTAAAAAGTTGTTATTGCGATTAGAAATGTTTTATTTGCATTAAATAGTTTTAAATAAAACTGATAAGTAAGGCTTGTATTTTTTTAAATGTATATAAAAATATATTCTTTTTAATACAATATTGTATAAAAACAGAATATATATTATAACTTAAAAGCCTACACAATAATATGAGTACAAGCAATAAGGATTTCTCTGAACACAATCTGATCTAAATTATAATCATTATAATTATTATTAAAAAATTTTATAATAATTCTGTTAGTAAATAAAAGAAACATTATTTTGAAAAAGGTGAATGTGGAAAGTGTGGAAAAGTTTGTCTACATCTGCTATAGTATTACTGTGTTCAACTAAAATATTGTTGTGAGGTCTTTTAAGTTTATGGGTTTATTGTATCCTTTTCGGGATTGTATCTTACATAGTTTTTTAAACTTTGAACTCAAAATTTATATCTTAAAATGTTTCGCGAATTACCTAAGTAGGTCAATTAAAAATATCTAAAAAAGATTAAACAAGTAAAATTGGTATTAATGCATTATTCATTACTCATTTTTTCAATTTGTTACAATTTGTTACTGTTATATTGAAATTAAGATTATACATTTATGTGATTTTTTTTCTTCTAATCTACATTTTTAAGATGTCAAACACGGAAGCGTCAAAAATAATTCTTGACTTTATGTCTAAAAAGAATCGCCCATTTGCTGTAAATGATGTATTAGAAAATTGTGGGAAAACATTCGGAAAGTCTACCGTACAAAAGTAAGTACAATCAAATAATAATTAGTATTAATATATTTTATATATTAATATATAAAATAGTTTGTGGTTATATAGCAAAGCTTAGTTCATACCCCAACTTAACGCTATACAATTTTAGTTTGTGAGTGCTATTCAAGTACTATCCATATGTTATGTGTGAGAATAAAAATATAGTAGATACTAAACACATAATAGAAACTAAACTTATAGTAGATTTAAAAAATGTCACCATAATAGATAAGGAAAAAGTCACAACTGAAGATTAACACTGGAAAGTCTCCACATACTATATGTTATGTTTTAAACCGAACTATTAAGAGAAAGGGGAACGGAGACTACATCAATTTAGTTACTATTACTATTGCAATATATCATAGCAAATATTTTTATTGATTATTCTATTTAAGCTAGATTGGTAAAAAGTTTAGATTTTTAATTGTAAAAATATTCCAAATATATAAAACCAACTAACAATATCTTTAACAACATAAATAAAAAAGTTAATTAGTATAAATATTTTAATTCAATATTAAAATTAAAGTTAATGAAGAATCTATCAAGTCTATTGTTATAACACGAGATTGCTGGCTGGTAGGAAAGATAAGCGTTACTTTGTCGTCTGGCCAGACTAGCGACTCTGGGATATAGACTTTACCTCTACTGACTTTTCTACCTTTGAAAGAAAATTAAGTCTAATACACACTTTTAATAAATGCTTTTAATACATAATGTCTAATATGTAATTTTAATTTAAAAATATAATTTTAGAATGTTGGATTCATTAGCAGAAAGGGGTAAAATAACAGTTAAAACATTTGGAAAACAAAATATATATTTCATCAAACAAAAATTTAATATGGAAGAGGTAATAATTTGCTTACATACACATCTACATTTCTATAAAATAATTAAAATTATAATGTTTATTTTAAAATATTATAGAATAAAAAGGAATTGCAAGGCTCTAAACAAAAATTGTTGCAAATCGAAAACAACATTAAAAATAAGGAGAATGAGTATCGAGAACTTGAGAAGAAACTGAAAGTATTGCCCAAAGTGATCAGCATTGAAAGTCTAGAAGCGCAGCATAGTGAGATGTTGGATGAAGTGCGTGAATTGAATGAAAAATTGCGACGTAGTAAAGCACAAAAATTAGAACAAAAAGTAAGATTCATTGCAATAAATGATTTAAATTGTTGAATAATATTAAAAAAAGCAAATATATTTTTAGTTCACATCAGCCGAAGCGAAAAAGATTGTAAATCATTATAATGAATTGGTAGATGCACTGCGCAAACGTAAACGTATATGTAATGATATGCTAGATGCCATCATGGAAGGATATCCAAAATCAAAAAAAGCGTTAATTGATGACATTGGTATAGAAACAGATGAAGCTGTTGGTTTTGATATAAAACAGTATAAATAAAAGTATTATTTCAATTGAACTGTAACTAATTTAAAGAGTCATGTCTGACAAATCCTTAAATATTGTCTTTGTATAATATATATAATATAATACAGCATATAGTTTAAGAATCACTAATTATAGCAATTATTGTCTTATTGTATGTTTTAATAAGAATGAGAGTTTAAATATTCAACAATTGTTATAATACAGTATAACACTTATTAAAACTGTAATAATTATATAGAAGAATTATAATTACATTGATATAATTTATACAGTAAATATAATATAAATAATTATTTATTTAAAAAGGTACTTTTTTAGAATTAATTATACATTCAAGTTGATGTGCATAATAATAATAATAATAATAATAATAATTCAAAAACTAAAAAATTTATTACTGCTTACTATAAATTTTGGTGTGTATTCAAACTATTATAAAATTGTTAAAGCAATTTTTATTCTTTTTTTATAATGAGACTATTGATTTTAAGGTATATACAGTTATAAACATTGAAGAAAGATAAATATAGTTTATTTTTATTTTATATAAAACTTTAGATTTATTTATTAAAACAAAAGTGTTATTTTTGAAAATATTTTTTAACTGTTTTAATGAAGTATATCTTTTTATAACTGTTATAATGAAATCTAGTTTGTAAGCGGTTTACCGGGTAGCTTTAATGATGTTCAATTAATTTTTTTAAAGTATCCATTACAAAGGATTTTTATAGTTAAGTAACAATAAAACACTCTATATTCCTTATTTTTAAAATACAAATAAACGGTTTAAGATGTTTCTTATAATTATAAATTATTTTTAAAATAATTAAAAATGCATTTTTTTATTTTATATCATTATATTGTACTATTATTATAACTATCTCGAAATGTATTTCAAAACTGTTATAATAATTCTTATATTTATCAAATGTGTATAACAGTTTGAAATAAAGTTAAGATTTTGCTATGTTTATAAATACTATTTCTTGATAGGTGTAAAATAATTTTGTAAAAGAATTTGTTTTTTAATAATCAAAACTGCTATGAAAAAAAGAAGCAATAAAATAACAAATTGCAGTTCCAATTTTTGCACAAAAGATTTTTGTAAATTTTTTCTATTTTGTTTAAATTTATTTCTTTAAATATCAAAACAATTATTTATATATAATGTTTTTTTTTTGTTAAACTGTTCAAAGCTGTTCGATTTATCTCATTTATAACCGCAAATGTGTTTTGCTACCAAACTCACGTTTGACCTTTTTGCTAAAACATGTGCAACTTCAAATATCAAATGGAACTATGGTACCATCTTCAATTACCAGGCAACCTTACAGGTAGGTTGTTGGTTTTAATGGCTGCTCTAAAACTAATTTTATGCAAGAGAATTGCAAATCCAATGAAATAAAAAGAATAAATCTTAATATCAACAAAGTTGTTGATATTTTTGTTAAGAGCAATTGTAACCATTTAGTTGCTATCATTTTATCATGCCAATAACTCTTTTATGGCATCGTTAAACTGGCTTTGATGACGAAATATTTACAGGTAACTCTTGACTAAGTTAAAACGTGAAAATCCATTTTATGGGCTTTGCCTTAAGCATGAAATTAAAATAGTTTGACCGACTGTTAATTGAACAGGGATCTCCACTCCTCGTCGCATATTAATAAGTAATTTAAGAAAAATTTTAACCTATGAAATTGTAAATGTATTTAAAAAGACAAAATAAATAAATTCTATTTTAAATTAAATTAAGTTAACGATATCAATGTCATAGAAGAAAGAATATCTTTCGCAAAGTGGATTGGCCACACGCAAGCCCTACGCTGGAACCCACAAGGCAACCGCCGGTATGGAGCCCCAGCTAAGACATGGCACAGTAAAGACGCACAGTACTCCTGGAACCAAATCACGAGAGAAGCAGGCAACAGTATTAGATTTAGAGGAATCGTTAAGACTCTATGCTGCCCTTAGGATAGAAGGACAGCAGCAAGTGAGTAAGCAGACAAGAATATTCTTACTAGTGAAGAAAACAAACGTGCAGAAGAAGTTCTCAACAGTCATCCGACTGAAATTTGGTATAAAGCATGTATTACTAGTGCAGCTACAACTGTTTTAGCTCAATTAAAGTTGGGATATACGTATACGGTAACAGTTACTTGCCACGTACAAATACGTCATATCCCAATGTGTGCCATAACCGCAGCTCAACTTTTAATGAAATTGCTTATTAGTTTCCATGTCTAAATATAAATACTAAATTAAGCCCTTCTAATTTATGGAGGTACCCCATTGAATAGCTAACTCCCTTAACCTTGATCCACACTATTTTCAATTAGTATCGATCTGCTTCTTCTGATCCCTCTTAGCTAATCCGTGGAAATAATTGAATTGAATTTTACTTCAATTGCGAGTTTTTTTAAAACTTTCGAAATAAAACTATTAAATTAAATAAATATAATCTATTTAACTTGGATTTTAAAATATGCAATAATTTACTAATGCAATTGCTTTTAAATTTCTGTAATCTTATCATCTTTGTGGATTATTGACCCATGAGTTCATTTTTATATATAATTTGCATAATGCAAAGCTTGCAGTTACAGGAGCTAATTTCGATATGCAGGCGTATAAAAACTTTATAAATTATTTATATGTTCACTTTATGAGAACAAACCTGTTCAGCTAGGATCTCAATGGGTTGGTCAACTAAAATTATTATAAAGTTTATATAATGAATACGAAATGTAACAGAAACTGTCGCTGCAATATAATTTTTTATGACAATTTTGAAAGTGTGTTGCTTTTAGTGTGGCATGTGGCATGTGGCACTCTAGCAAAATAAGTGCATAATTTGAAAAAAATGTTTGCAAATGAAAGGTCATTGTACTTTAGATATAAAAATTTGTTTAAAAATTAGAAAACTAAAAAACGAAACTTTTAACAAAAATAATCAGTACTTGACTGTAGTTTGACTCCTGCTAAGTACTGCATTTAAAATATTTTTAATTAATAAAATAGATCAAATTGAATTAAGTTATTTTGGTGCATGATTGTGGGTGTTTTATATACTTGATGTTGATGTTGATGTTGATTAGATTGTATATGCATAAACCTCGAAAGTAGCTGAAAGTAATGGATGCTGAAAATAGTAGGTGGTTTCTGGCACATGTATCACTTTTATAAGCAATAAACCTCATGGGATACCAACAATGTCTTCAAACAATACATCACTACCTTCAATTCATACTGCATTTCCTTTAATATATATATACATCTGTATACAATGCATATGTACATATATACGATTGCATTAATAAATTTTTTTTGTTATTTAATTGCAAGCAGAAAACTTTTGAAGTAGACCTCTTTCCAGAAAAGACTAAAAACTGCTTTAGTTTGTCGCATGGCACCAAGTCGCGTGGGTTTTTTTCCTTAACTTGGCTTAAATTATTTTTCATATGTTTTTTTTTATTTCTAATCTGTTTTGAACTAATTTCAGCTTAAAAATTAAACTAAAACTTGTCAAAGAAGTTGCAAAATCCAACAAAAATTTTGTATGACAGTTGAAAAGATTTATTGAACATAAAGTGTGGCAAGTCTGTAAAGATTTTAGTGTCAACATCAAATGCAAGCGAGATTGTTGGCATGATTTCATGATGCCCTACAGCTAAAAGGGCAGCATTTAAGGCACTGACTTTCCATTTATTGGTTAATGTAAGATTATAAAACCTCAATAATGCAATGATTAATTGATTAACAAATTAAAATGCAAAATCGTGATTCAGTATTAGATAAAAAGTTTTAAATGTTTTTTTAAAATATTTTTGTAAGAGAAACTGTTTGAATATTTGCATTTATATATATATAATGAAATTTAAATATATTTAAAATTATATGCGACAAAATCGATATTAATATATTATATTTATAAAATAAATTTATATATATTAAAAATTACACATCACACAATTTCTTTACAATCTTAAGTTCGACTCATACAAGAGTATTACTTGGTATTATTAATAAATTAATATTTTAGTGAACTTTAAAATTGTTAAGGGCACAAGAAAAAAAAAGCTAACAAGTAATTTAGTCATAAAATCAAAAAATTGTACTGCGCTATACTGCATAGGTAAAAATTACGAAAATTACGATATTTACTGCATTTATAATATTTATAAATATTATTAATTTATTAAAAATCGAATGTGTCAGCTAACAGCACTAGAAATGGTAGCTACTCAACTAGCACTAACTCAATTACAGCATTAATACAATTAAAACGAAGCCAAAGATAATACAAAATAGTTAATTAAAAGCTAATAATAATAGTTTTTCTATAGGTAAAGCTGTATAAACGTTAAAACTACGAAAACTATAGTACGTCTGTATTAACATTAAAATTTCGTTTGAGATGTCATAAGTCTTAGAGATATCAGCACAACATTTATAGCTACCTCAGTGGTTGGTTTGATTTATAGTACATTCTTACTTGCAAACTTTAAACGTCCGCTTTCTATGCTTTTAAACTACTGTCTATGGAAGAAATTGAAGACAGCGATTAAAAATTATTTATTCCCCGAAAAATGACATAGATTATAACAATATATATAATTAACGTCACTTAAATGGCCATTTATTAGATAAGCTAAATAAATTGTTATGTTGAAACATGGTTTAATAATAACTTCATCATAAAAGTCAAATATATTTCTACATCCCAAAAAAATGATTGTAGGGTTTATATTTGACAAATATTTTTAGAACCTTTGTATATGTATTTCATCTCAGAAACAACATTCAGACATTTTATATTATTTTGTAGAATTCTAATAAAATGCCTTCTAAATAAGTCACCAATATTGTTACCTTAGCACTGAAAATACTGCCGGTGGACTGGTACAAAACCACCTTCAGGAAACTTGTGAGGTTGTGTATCAACACTTAATGAAATCCAAATAAAAAAATATAATATTTTGAAAGGCAACTGGTCAAAAATTATATTATATACATATATATAAAATATATGTGATTTAAAGTGTATATATTTATGT